TCAAGCTTACACATCTAGACTTCCCCATGCCTTAATCTAACCTACAAACCAAGGACTCGATATCCTGCAATTCCCAGAATTCCTGTAAGCAGAGAATGTTGCAAAGCGATTCTGGGTGCAAAATGAAAAAGAACACCTGTTCAACATTCTACATGTAATGTGCATGTTGGAATATGGATTCCATATAAAGTAAGTCTATGGATAATACAGGAAAGAATTCCAGAAAGCCACACCTTATCTCATTACCCTAACTAGGCTAGAGAAGTCCCTGTGTACATACTATCCTGCCAGCAACATATCTTTAAAAGTTTCTAACACACAATATTTGTATGTAATGTATCTATACCTATCTAATTTTCTCTCTTAAGAAGATGTACCTTTCTTATGTCATGAAAAGACAAGCACACTTTCTGTGGGTGGATATCTCATATATGAATCACCAGCTTGTCCTACCTTATAAGGGAAAGTCATCAGAAGTGTGAAAACTTCAGAAAAACTAGGCAAAATCACAATTACTCCGTGATAGATTGTACATCCAGTCAACAAAAATACTCGTCTTTCTAAGAGCATCAGACAAAATGCTAAAAGCTCCATTAGGGATAATGAACAATCATTTGTTAGCACAAAGTCAAAGGACCAATATACATTGTGAAGATGAGTGTTGATTCTATATCTAAGACTAAAACGCAAATCACTAAATCCTGCAATTTTGGGATGAAAACAGAACGACTGAATTATAAGAGATGGTGAAGGCTTGAGGATCATGTGTAAGTTGTACCATTATTTGCATATTCATTGTCATACAAATCATTTGAGGTGTGGTTTTCAAAATCAAATGTAGTGCACTTTGTATTCCCCGAGTTGTATGATGCAATGTGTTATATTTTGACTGTCAGGAAGAAAGTAAGATTCAGAAGAAACAACATCCATCAGTTTGCAGGTAGCAGGTAATTACTTTATAATGATTTGCCTTGTGGTTTCAAAAGTGGGCCATGGTGAATACAGTAGTTGTGAATACAAGAGGCTGGGTCACTGCCACATGCGATTGGGCATATCTTCATAATAACACACTTTCAGGACACAATGAGAGGGATAATTCCTTACAAAGACTTACAATACACAAATTTCCCTCAAAATCACAGTAAAACTGATGGGATCATCCATATCCAAGGCATTCTCTAGTGACAACATGGCCTTATCTAAACAACCTTATGTAAACAGGTTATCAAGAAATAGATAACAGCAAATTGCAGTTTGACAGGCTCCTGTCCAAACAGATTATTACTTACAATAATACAAACCATAGCAACAAAATATTTCAGCCTTTCTGAAAGTGTGAAATCTATAAAATTGTAAGAAATTTCTACTTTCCTTTTCATTCAACTCAGAAATGCTGGCATTTCTCATTATCAGACCATATTTCAATTTGATGCCATAATAAATCAAAACAGTAACTTGAGATCAATCAAATTCCATGAATATTCCTGTCAATAGTAACCTCAATACCAACTTGGCATTGTCCCCTCCCCCCAGTAATATGTAATGATGCCTCCGTGATGTATGATAGCAAAAACATGTCATGACTTATTTCAGTATGTAACAAACATTTTCTTACAAGTTACATATTCCTTTTGTTTGTATGTTTTGGTCAACTTTTTAAGGTCAATGAAAAGCTGTCTGAACAGTCTATGCTCTGGATTATAAATAGCCAAGTACAAGCAGGGAGCCATAAAACCAGCGTGCCCCAACCTGCATAGAGGTATTTTTATCATGAAATGTTCAACATTACTATTGATAATTATCACAAGCACTCATGCATAATGTTGGAAAAAAGCCATTGTCAAAGTAAGCTAAACAAAGATAAACAGTAACTTGATGTTCCTAGCCACTAATACTGACTTCAGAGGAATTCACATAGTTGCTTCCATAGCCTTGCTTCTGTTTTGCTTTCGGTATGTATACTTGGCAACTATCAGATCTTTGCATGCATGGATGTTTTTTGCAAACTTCCCAAAGACAACAGATTAAAATCAAGGCTCATATGAAATGTAGCCAACTGCAAGATATTTTGTTCAACCCAGCACCTGTAATGGTACAAATTCCAACACTGGATCAATCGCGTATTGGGAAGAAATCATATTTCTTACGATTGAGGAGCTTATAATATCCGCTAAAGACGTGTGTATTGTCTATATGTACATTTTGTATATCCACCGAGAGAAAGACAGTCAGATCCACCCTCCATTCAAAAGTGACTCGCACACAAACATAAACTGTAAATGTTTATAAATTATAAGGTTACCCGTGCAGAATTAACAATTTTCTAGTTTGCTTGTGCTTAAATCATGGAAGTCCCCCCTGAGGATATAAATAAAGAATCAACTGCAAAACCCACAGCAGACTGGGAGCTCCACTCATCCATCTGTCTTCTACTGACACTGTAATCCACAAAGTGCCTCATGCAAGATTGACAGTACCACAATGACATAAGCTACACATAAACATTACTGTGATCGGACCATGAATATGCATATCTATTTCCCTGTTTCACATGCATGCTTATGTTTGAATGTTATGCCAACTGAACACACAATACTAGTACTGTCTGTAATACAATGATTTGGAAGTGTTCTGGATTGATTTGAAAAATGAAAAGGGAGTCTACACATACATGTAACTATTGTAAGCAGGGTTTTATCGTCCTTCTCGTGTTATCATTCTTACACATGTACCTCAGTTTGTAGCAGTTGACAGAATCTTTGTCTACCCATTGGCTATAACAAATTGTACCACCTCGTAGGATTAAAACATGACTGGAGAAAAGAGCTAGATGTTCATGGAATGTAGAAACAATCTTAGTTTAGAAAACATGTACTTACAATAAATTCAATCCATGTGCATTTTATATTTCAATGTATAAAAGAACACCACTCTAGTGTAAAGGTTTTCGCTATCACCTAATACATAATAGTAATATCACATTTTACACTGATGCTACATGGAAGGCTGGTGTCAGAATTGTCGCTGCAATGTAACATTACATGATGGCACGACATCCATGAAATGCAGGCAGAAACTGGACTGAAGCTTGAAGTCTCAAGATTGAAAGCAACTACACCAGCACAAAGTGGGAGGGGAAATGTTGGGTTCATACAAAGAAGGTAGGCAGACCTGAAGTGTTCTTTTGGCACTGCGAAATTATGACAGTTTAGTCTATATCCTTTTGTTCATTGTACCTGTACCTACTGGGGATTTTCATGCTTCATCCATGTTTTTACACAGACTTTTTATTTTGTGTTCCACCTTCCATTCAGCAGAATCGGCACTAAGATTATAAAAAATGTACCCTAGACATTGTTCTGTGATACTCCTCAGATTTACATCCTATACTGGGGGATTTTTCATGCTTTACCATCTTTTTCATGGAGTGACACTGTAGCACACTCTACACTACATGCGGTGCATGTTATATATTGCATTTGCAATACATTTTTGGGCTCAAAGAACCAATGTAACACTGCTTTAGAACTTTCCCATACAAAAATTTCATGCAAATTTTACAAGATTTTCTATATGCTTGTACTTACACACCTAAGCCAGCTCAATGCTGAATAATGTTATTGGCATACCGCTCCCTTGGGTAAAAGGATTTTCATGTAGAAGGCCAATGTGGCAGCAGAATTGGACATCACTTATGCAAAACTCCTCGACCACAGCAACAAATCATAAACAGTGCCAATGATGGCAGCCAATCACATCAAATACAACAAAACACAAACACAACATACAAGTTCATTGTAGCTATATGAGTAACTCATCTAATGATTGGGCTTACAAACGTGCCGAATTTGAAAGGAATTTAGGACACTGTTCAGTTGATGAGCTGGTTTCCAATCAGATCTCCAAGTCCAAACCAGCTTCACTGCAATTTGTGCAAACTGCTACAGTCCAAGCTTACTAAAATCCTTCCAAGTCCTGTTTGATTGTAAATCACACAATGTGACAGAACACAATTCTACAAAGAAGATCTGAAGTACATCACCTTATAAGGTAGTCCTTACAATCCTTATGTGTATGACTATGAGATACTAGCACTATATGTCTGTGTTGTGACACTAACATTCTTATCCCAAGTCTACACCTACACAGAGAGATATCTTTGCAAAAATATGCAAATATATCTTGGCAGAAATATGCAAACTTGTCAGAAATATAAGGAAATTATTTTTTTATAAAAAGTGGGGCTTAGCACCTCAAGGCAGGGTATGCTGAGCAAAAATTTGGCGGGCAGAAACATGGATTTCCTAACTGAAGTATCAGGTAGCATAGGTGATGGTGGCACAAGAAATTATTTCCACACGTACACAGAGCAGCAAGAGACTTGTCCTTGTCACATGGTAGCTTGAAGTTGAAGGAACTAAGCAACATTTACTATCCTCATCAGGTCGGGCTGTTGTGGTCTGTCAAATCAAGTCCACTGGGTCAAGGATACCATCATATTAGGCTCAACACATACAAAAGATGTCGCACTAATGGTACACACAAAAATCTACATGAAGAGGGGGTGCACCTGATGCCAAAATCAAGTTCGTGTGACAAGTGTATGCACCATTGAGGTTGGTTGGACCTGAATGGTTGGCATAGTCCATGTCATGTACCAACCCTCGGTGGCAGTGGGAGGGGTCAAATGTGTGTATGTGTGTGTATCCATCTAACATGGCCTCTCAAGGGTATGGGCCTCAAAGTGGCCACAGGGGGCTCTCACTGATAACAGAGGTCTGATATAAGCATGATAAGGCAGGCTAGGATGTGACAAGTGCGCTAGTGGCATCAAAGATGTCACAACTGTGGGCCTGCTAAATCAGGAATCCGTGTTTGTTGGCTCTGGGATAAACAAGGTTTGGGTTTTAGTCACGCCACAAACGGTGATGCATTCAAAAAACATGAAACGCTTTTTCGGTAGATACGTACTGAGAATACTGATTGTAGGTGAACATTACCTTTGAGTTGTGGTAAAGGCACCAGCTCCGTCCCTCCCTTCGCCTTATACCGGGAGGAGGCCTGGGATCTCTTCTGTTTGGGCTTCTTGACTGACTGTTTCTTGCTGAACGGATCTATCTTATCGGTCACGGGCCCTGTGGCGGCGGACATTTTGGCAGTCTCCTAGGGTTAACTCGGCTGAAGAGTTAACTTAGGGTCCTTCTGATTAATAAAAGAATCCTACTGGGATATCGCGAAACTGGATTATGATCGATTCCAGTGCGATCTAGATCATGAAGATGTCGTCTCACTCGGCACGACAGTCTAACCTGGAAGGAAGGGCTGACAAGGTTGCTTGGGTTGGTCCCTCCCCCAGCTTCGCCAACATGGAAACCACGACCCACATTTAGCAGCCAAACAAACGATATTACCACACTAATAGTCCTGTATAATTGTTCCGAAGATGTTGTAGACACTTGCTAGACCCCTCCGACAAAAATTCAAAGAATCAGAAGCTTCAAATGGCACTATTTTCAACAGCATCCAGCACTGTTTCGGACAACCTCCTTCCAGATTTTGTTGCTAATAGCCAAGGTGTGGTCACGTGACAGAAATGGCGCTCCACCATTGGTTGACACCTACAAATGTCCCGGATGTTGGAGGAATCTTGACGTCACGGATCTATTAACTTGGTCGGTCTGACCTTTGACCTGTGCGAGGGCCAGATGTCCCAGGGGACCACAGAGACATAGCAACGGTGGATGGAAACAAACAGGTCAATGATATGCAGACAAACAGATAAATATATAAACACATAGGCAACGAAATCTTACAAAGACGACTGTAAAGATTACTAAAGCACACAAACAATGGGATGGCAGACTGGCCTACCTAAAGTGTAGGTTAGTCCAATTCAGGAACTATGAAGTGGTGAGGAGTGACTGAGGACCAACACAAAGTTACGATTGAAGAAACACGATACTTTTCTTCTGCAATTAATCAAATTAAACAAATGGCCAATTATGTTATTCCGATAAGGCATATTAAGTCATGTTCTAGACTTCAACGTCAAGTTAGCTGGAAAATATGAAAAGTTTTTGCCTCTATGGAAATGTTCATAGATGATTAATAAGAAAAACGTGTGCTTATATGATCCACTCCTCTACACATGTTATGACATAACTTTGATATAGGTATATAGAAACAATATTAAAACAGCTTTAAGCTCCAAGTCTCAACCAAACTTTGATCATTTTGTTTAAATTTGCACGCGCCGTGGGTATACTTATTAGAAGAACAAAATAATTGTTTTGCACGATCCTCAAACAAATTGAGGGGGTTTATAACGGCAATTAATCAAACCGCCTTGTAATAACGTGTGCTACAAAGCATCAACGGCGAATGAAACCAAAGAACATGGAACACCGTGAAAGGTTAGTTGATCATTGTAAACAAACGACCCAACTTGCTTGTGGTGAATATAGTCTATGATTATGAATTCTGATGTTATTATTGTGCATTGCAAGGGCTTGAATGTCAACCTCAGCTTCCTTAGCAGGCTCCACCAGTCGGGCCTTTTGAGGGGCTTAAGTTATGAGCTTTTTTCAGTCATTATATATGGTATATATATCTCCGTGCTCGTGGCGAGCCGCGTCGGTAAAATGCACATTGCTGGATGCATTGCTAGCGCTATATCGCACAGAAGCCGATTTATTTGGCCCAATCAGCTTAGCACGCGCACTGACCAGTAGTGAAGCTCATTCCCTCACATCGCTGATCGGATATCAAATGCCTCTTATAAGCCGAAATAAGAGAAAGCTGCGAGGGTCGATGTTTCATGGGGAGGCGAATAGCCCTGGTCAAAATTTCTCAAAAGATCTAGCGTTAGTCAATAATACGATTTTTCGAGATTATCACGTTTAAGTAGAATATCCAGGCGTTCCATAAAGGGCGAGAAGAATTAGGACTAATATTAATAACGGCATAAAACTTTTAATTCATTACCACGCTTTTTAAAATGCAACGCAAAAATACACCACTCAATGAGTTGACATAATAGAAATGTAATTTTCCATAATCTTCGGATGCGGATAATCATAAGATGCGGTGTTGTTTTTGATGTACTTTACTACACTGCATACTTCCCCAGAACACGTCAAGGGGCTTCATGTGGCAACTGAACGTCAAATTATTTTTAGTCGAAAACAGCGTGAAGCATATTACAGCCTCATGGTCCAAGTCACTTGCTAAAAGTAACCCACTGACTACAAGAAACGACGTTGTCTGTTTAGTAGCTGCCATCTAGCGACGTCAAGGCAGTTTGCACTTCATGCCAGGACACACTTAAAACTTTCACAACAGATCATTGGAGATAGCATAACTCTGACGCTTTTCCTACAAAACAAGCCTTTGGCAGTAATTGAAATGCTAAAATAAGCTGTAGCTCATGTCAACTTTATTTAATATAAGAAAACATTGTATGTATGTGTGATCGTACACTGTCAAGTATTACTTTGTATTGTGTGTCTATAAACTAAAAGACAACATGACAAGTAGTCATACGAAATTAATTGTAAATGATGATATACTTGTGACATAAGAGACATAGTTGCCGTGCGAAGACTTTCTGCACAATAAAATCGGCCACTGGCCATAGAGCTCTTGCAATTGGGCCCTGCCTCAGCTGCCTAAGGAGCGCGCCAAATCTGTTATCCTTAAAGCTCACCTGACCCACTTACTTACTTGCTTTGCTGCTCAGTGATCGATATCTCCGTGCTTGTTAACGCCCCTGGACCCAGTCGAGCCACGTCCCCACATGCCGATCTCGAGGGGCACTTCACAATGGGAAATCCTGGATACGTCACCACTGTGTTTGCCGAGCGTAGAACATTAGGGGTGCGGGCCCAAACATTCAGACCCGGAACGTAAATTAACACGCTGAATTCTCCTGCCATACCTGGCGACAACGCCCTTTGAACCCTTCTGAGAAAAATCTGTGCCTCGTTCAAGATGGACGTGCTCAGAAGGGTACGGTTGCCATGCTGTTTGACAGTACTTGGCCTTGTCATGTTAGTGAGGGTGGACGCATCAGAACATAACACAGCGTGTACCTTCGATCTGGAGAACAAAGGGGAAATATGTTTCTATCAGGAGTTCTTCTTCCCAGGCAACTATTCTTTCGAGTTTCAAGTGATCAAAGGCGGTCAGAGGGATGTTGATGTGGCTATCGTGGCTCCGGACGACAGTCTCATCTACAACAAAGAGCGGGAAAAGTCAGGCGTGCACAACTGGCAGACCTCCGTGGGCACCTACAAGTTCTGCTTCAGTAACGCTTTCTCGACGTTCAATAGAAAGGTGAGCAAACCGGACTTCAATATTTCTTATCTCAGCCTATTGTTTATCTTCACCCGGTGTCGAACGACAGTGCCTAGGTAACGTTACTGCTACTTTATGGCTCACTCAACAGGTACACGTCGTCAGGACTATGGTCATGACCATGTTTGGTCTGGATAAGACGGGAGCTCAGCGAAGAGCGTTTAACGGCACGCGATAACCACACAACAGTCCAGTCGTCGGGCTTTTCTCCCGGATGCGCTGTCGCCTTTTCAAGAGACCCATATTCTATGTATACAACTGTTCTAAAACATTATGTCAGTAACCACACCAAACAACCTGTTAAACATTGAATAGGTGTCATGTGCACTACTAATTCTGTTGACATCTGCACTATAATATTGATTTCTTATCAGCTGATCTACATGTCCCTGATGAAGCAAGAAACAGCGGTGCTAGCGGCAAGGATGGGCACCAAGCGACCTGATGACATCTCAGCATGGCTGTTTGTGGCAAAACAGATCAAGGAGTCACTAGACATCGTAGTAGAGCTACAGAATAGGTGAGAGGGATTTCTGCTTTGCGTTTCCGTGGGGTTCAGTGAACAAATACAAGCAAGACTGAACATGTACTGTGGAAAACTTTCTCAAAGTTGCTTTATTGGAACAGCCCTGACCTTACTGCTAGCTCACGTCGACTTGCACTATCCCTTCCAGATACCGCCGGTATGAAGCCGTGGACCGGAACAACGCGATGTCGCTGAGTGCTCGGGTACAGGACTGGTCTCTGTATCAATCGGTGCTCGTTGTTGTGATCGGCCTGGGGCAGATGATCGTACTGAAGACTTTATTCACAGAGAAACAGACCAGGAGATTCAGCAAGCCGTAGAAGTTGAAGAGTTAAACTGCTGTCCAAACCACATATCACTCAGTCAAATCTGTTAGTGTACACTAACATGCCAACGTTGGATATTCACATTAGAAAAGTTTCATTTATGTACTTACGTTCTTTATGCATTAGACGAGTCACATCAACTACGAATATTTAATGGCAGAATACATTAGTTCCATGCAAAAACAGCATCATTTAGCTTTATAGTGCCCAGCCATAGACAATTATAATACCGACGGAATTAACATTTTTGATATGTGTCAGAGGAAATCCTTAAAGAAAGTAAAACCATATGTTGATGTTTTAATCAATATGTTGTCACGCCCAAACACATGTACATGTCATCCACACCATCACCGATCATGTGGCATCTGATATACCATAGACAGCAACCAAGAACTACGAGATATTTTAATTTGCTAATATACGTGTAGTATACATATGATATGGGAAATAAAGGCATGACTTTCCTCTGCTTTGTACTGTTAGCATTCATTACTACTAGGATATTTGCAGGTCATCAGTTACTCTTTGGTGGTAATGTGTGCTGATGTCTACACTCCATCGTAGTAATTGGTGCCATAAACTTATAGGTGACACACACCTTATAGGTGAGGTTGGATAGGAAGACTGAACTCCCGGGCATGCTGACGGAAACAGTCACGAAGAAGTTACAACTTTTCCATTCAACCTCTGTAACCTGTGTAACCATGTCATCATTGACTCCACAAAATGACATGTTAACGTTTCAGACAGACAGATTTGTCCCGAAATAAACATCCAGACCCGGAACGTAAACTAACACGCGAAATTCTCCTGTCATATACCTGATAAAAACGCCCTTTGAACTAAGAAAGATCTTTGCTTCGAATTGTTAATTCAAGATGGACGTGCTCGGACGAGTACGTCTGCAATGCTGTTTACCAGTACTTTGCCTTCTCATGTTGGTGAGGGTGAACGCTATAGAACGTGGCACAGCGTGTACCTTCGACTTGGAGAACAAAGGGGGAATGTGCTTCTACCAGGAGTTTTTCTTCCCGGGCAACTATTCTTTCGAGTTTCAAGTGATTAAGGGCGGTCAGAGGGATGTTGACGTGGCCATAGTGACGCCGAACGACACTCTTATCTACCACAAAGTGAGGGAAAAGTCAGGCGTGCACAACTGGCGGACATCAGTGGGCACCTACAAGTTCTGCTTCAGCAACTCTTTCTCAAGATTCGATATAGAAAGGTAAACAAACAAGACTGCAATATTTCTTATCTTAGCCTATTGTTAATATCTTCGCCATGTCGTGCCTAGGTTATAACGTTATTTACTGCTGCTTTATGGCTCACGCAACAGGTACACGTCGTCAGGGCATGATCATGACTATATGTCTGGTCTGGATTAACGGGAGCTCAGTAAAGGCCGTAACGTTATACCTTTCATGGCGCAACATCAAGTTACTCTTCCAGTCGTCGGGCTTTTTTTGGCCCGGATGCGTTGTTATCAGTCACCCATATGCCGTGATCGAAAACATGATAAACAATAGTATTCCAACTTCCAAGGCATCATAATATTGAATAGGTGACGGGTGTACACCACTAACTTTGTTGAAACCTACACTGTTTCTTACAAGCTGATCTACATGTCCCTGATGAAGCAAGAAACAGCGGCACTAGCGGCAAAGATCGGCACCAAAAATCCTGGTGACGTCTCAGCATGGCTGTTTGTGGCAAAACAAATCAAGGAGTCACTGCACGTAATGGAAGAGCTACAGAAAAGGTGAGAGGGAATTGTGCTTTCCGTTTCCTTCTGGTTCAGTGAACAAATACAAACAAGACCGAACATGTACTGTGCAAAACTTTCTCAAAGTTGCTTTATTGGAACAAATGTTGAGCCCTGACCTTACTGCTAGCTCACGTCGATGTGCACTATCCCTTCCAGATACCGCCGGTATGAAGCCGTGGACCGGAACAACGCGATGTCGCTGAGTGCTCGGGTACAGGACTGGTCTCTGTATCAGTCGGTGCTCGTTGTTGTGATCGGCCTGGGGCAGATGATCGTACTGAAGACTTTATTCACAGAGAAACAGACCAGGAAATTCATCAAGCCATAGACATTGAAGACTTTAAGTTAATTAAGTTAAACCGCTGTCCAAACTACATACATGTATTACTCAAACCTGATATTATACACTACCATATGTTAGATATAGTGGCATTAGGAAAGTTTCATTCATGTACAGTTACGCATTAGAGGTGTCACATCAATTAAGAATGGCAGAATACCTTAGTTTAAAAAAGACATTAATCAGCTTTACAATGCTCAACGACAGTTAGGGTATTTACGGAATTAACGTCTATGATATGTATCAGTAGAAACCCTTAAAAATGATCAGGCAACTCAGAAGAAAGTTACAATCTTCTCATTCCACTTCTGCTTGGAGAGTAACCTCTCTAATCATGTCATCATCCACAAAGATAGCCTTTCGGCACTAAGGACAGACGCACTAAGGGCTACAGAAGTGTCTGCTGTTCCACAGAGGACAAAGAGGGTGCTGGTGCTCTTCTTGCAACATGGCTCTAAACGGTCTCATATTCATCTTTCAGTTTTCAGTAGTCTAATATGTCAGGAGACTGTTGATATGAGGCATACTGGCTACAATGGACATTGCTTCTTTACAAATAATGACTCCCTTAGCAAATTTAGTAGCAAATTTACCAAAGGGAGTGGAGAAGACAATGGTGTATATGATTGTGAATGACATCTGGCAAATTTGCCATGAATGTACATGTATGGTAGAGAGACAGTAGAACTCCACTACTACAAGTTCAATGTTCATATATAGGTCAGATCTAAGAAAGGCTGTGTTTATTTCTTTGTACACAAGGTACATTGTAGTATATTTACGATATACATTGTACTGTCAGATTCAGTCACAAACATGGCAGTCAAGATCCCATTGTGCTTTCAACAACAAAACCCTCCCTTTCTAATCTTCGGTAAAGATCAATGTACTTCCCAGCCTTAACACCTTCAGGAATGACCAATGTCTTACAGAAATCTTGTCTACTTCTTAAGACTTTCGTGTTAACATACTCATATCCTACATGTCTCAAGAACCCAAGTACGAAGTCAAAACAGTTGTTAGCATTCTCATCATATGACTCAGGTCTCCAGTACAGACTATAATCGTTCAAACATTTATCCCAGCATTCTCGAATGTCAAAGTCCTTTTCTTGAAGAAGACGGACAGTGATAGATTCCTCCCAGCCTGCTGTGTCTTTGTGAACACCTGTTTCATCAAAGTTAAACACCACTCCATTTGAGCTGGTCACCCCGACATGTAAGTCATCAGATCTGTGGTAGTCTGACAGGAACGTTCCACACGTAGGTTTCACCACCACACTGAAGGGACGGGAGTGACCGTCTTCAAAAGGGTTTGGGAGTGAGAAGGGAGGGTGCAGGAGAGTTTGGATGGGTCTGCCACACAGAGGACAGGTGGTGGGGAGGTCCAGGCACAAGATCTGGGTGGTGGGTTGGCAGGTGTCATGCCTGAAGCAGAGGATTTGGACCGGTTTCCTGGGCGCTGCCATTGCTGAATATAAGAAAAAAAAATGCATGAAGGCTGATATCATATCTCTCAGGATTAAAATTCAATTGTGAAGCTTGACAGTCTCTAAATCATTTTATGATTTTGTAACATGATTGTGCATGTAGCTCACCACTGGCCATGTTTCACTGGCATGGGATGTGACCATTTGATAATGAAATACAAACTCACCGACCAACCGTAGCCCATGCAAAGATTCCTGAATACAGTGAACTTGGCGAAGATGTCTCGATTTCCTTGTAAAAGTCTGAATTTTGACATTCGTTTCTGTTTTACACTGTGCCTCCAGCAAAGCTGCACTGTAGCTACTTCCGCCACTGTATCCGTATGGACTGTTCCATGGGGTCGACGGAAAAAATAACAATTAATCGTTTACATCACGTATTGTAGCTACTGATATTTCAATAGACATATACTACTTAATACATCTAATCACAATGTGTCAAATTACTATTTTGTTACATAAATAGCGTTTTTGTACAGAAAATTAAGTGATAACACTCCTATTCGCGAATAGGATGTCCCACTAGCCAAGATGGCGGACTAAGTTTGTTATTTTCCGTGCGTATCTAAAATCTGGCCGTCGATTTGATCCATGTGTACACTTGATGTCTATCAGATAGCACGTGAATATCAAACATGAAAGGAAGATTCAGCACTGTTGATTTGAGGGCCATCCTCACGGAAATCAAGGACAGGTAAGCCTCCAACGTGTATGACGTATGGATGAAGTGTCACCCCCCCCTCCCCCTCTCTGCAGCTCTGTCTGCTTCGTAACATGATTTGCTTACTGTGTTGTTCACGTAAATCTAATCCAAACAGAAATGTAATATCATCTTTGTGTTACTATATATGTTGGATTAAGGCTCTAAATGACCTTTTGTACTGCTATATACGTCGGACTTTACGTCCACATGTCACATATGCATGCAGAAATTTTTAACCTTTGACCTTCTCACATTTATTTTCCTATATCCCTTCAGTTTGCATATATCCTAACTTGCCAGAAGTCAAGAAAACTGCTGGAAGACTGATGTGTTATTGTGATCTCACTGATCTGGAAACAATCTGTGTTTCAGTGTCCTGGGCATGAGGGTCGCCAATGTTTATGATATCGACAACAAGACTTATCTCATCAAGCTGGTCAAGTAAGTAAAAGTACACTTGCCATTCCAGCATAAATCTGCTATGAATGATGTTATGTTTTTCTGTTCTGTTAGACTAAAATGTTTGCAAATTTCATACAAACTTTCCCCAAGGAGGTTCCATACCTTGCTTCCATCATGCTTTATTGATATGACTCAACCTTATGTAACATTGTCTTTTTGTTCGACAGAACTGATGAGAAGAAGATGCTCCTGCTTGAGTCAGGCACCCGCCTGTATTCCACTTCTTTTGACTGGCCCAAGAACATGATGCCCTCTGGTTTCAGCATGAAGGTGAGGAGTTATTACGAAGTTCGGCTAGTTTTACAAGATGTTCATGCTTAACTTTCAATCAAATAGAGTACTAGTATTCTGCTCTTAAAAGAACATTCTGCTTTCAAAATCTATCCAGTTGTTTGAGTAACTGTTTTCTTGAGTGTGCAAGCTTTCACATCCGCCATATTGTTTTACATTGTACAATGTATGTCTGTTAAACATGCTGCTTCTTAATCAACTTACCTGCCAACACCTAGATGCCAAGATTCATATGATAATTATTATGACATCCATGAAAAGCCTCTATATATGATAATTATTATGACATCCATGAAAAGCCTCTATTGTACTCTATTTTTTAAAGAAGGACTAAATGTCATAACTAGTCGGTACAATGATGAAATGCACATGACCAAAGGTTTGTATGTTTTGATGCTGTTACAGCTGAGGAAACACCTGCGGACGAGGCGCCTGATCAGTATTCAGCAGCTGGGGTCAGACAGGATTGTAGACATGCAGTTTGGAGAGAATGAGGCTGCGTACCACCTCATCGTGGAACTCTACGATAGGGTACTCACTCTCTTGCTATCTGGTTTATCATCTATTGTTCCCCATCATGCAGGGGTCACTGGATACTTCTGTCCTATGGGACAACACTATGAAGTTTGAAATAATGTTTTCCTTGAGTCTATGTTATCCATCCACTTCTTTCTCAGCCTCATGGGATCTGTCAGTCCTTGTGACAGACATATTTGAAATGAACTTCTAACTATGAAAAACACAATGAATTGCTTACATGTATATTGGAAGTTTTTGGAGCTTTGATCTTGTCAGGCATATAGATATCTAAACATGAAAACAGCTGAATTACAATTGCTGAAATTGAAAGACAGAGTAAAATTATGTTGTACATTTCCCAGGGAAACCTGATCCTGACAGACTATGAGTACACCATCCTGAACCTGCTCAGGACCAGGACTGAAGGGGAGGACGTCAGGTTCGCCGTAAGGGAAAAGTACCCACTGGAGCTGGCCAGGCCCCCACAGCCTCTCATCAGCTTAGAAGGGTAAGAACAGGGTTTGACCAAGAACTATAACACACTCAATGTTTTAAATCAGTTAATTGTAGGGTTTTGCAGTACATGGTTTAGATGACTGAGCATCATCTGTGTGTTTGCTACCTATGAAGAGAACTTGGAATGACCTTGGCATGTTCTCTGTGTTTTGCAGACTAAGGGAAGTGATGGTTGAGGCAAAGTCTGGAGACAGCCTGAAGAAGATCCTGAATTCCAAGCTTGGTATGATTACGGATTCAATGACCTCCCCTCAATCTGTAACTCTCATAGCTCTTATATTTTTAGTAGGCTGGAAAAGTTGAGAAATTCTGAATGTAAGACAAAGTGCTATGTGTTTACTTAATTCACAATATCATATATGTATTGGTCTAATAAGAGTTGTTCTATCAACAGTGTATGGACCTGCAGTCTTGGACCATTGCCTGCTGAATGCAGGCTTTCCTGAAGGTGCCAAGGTTGGGAAAGACTTCAATGTCTCACAAGGTAAGTAAAATAATTGTAAAGGAAAATCTGTTTTTTCTTTGTTATTCTTTCTGGAAGTCTTTATACAACTGTGTCAATGCAGAAATCTGGAAAAATACTAGATTTGATAATCTAACCTATCAGACTATCAATGTCAGGTTAGACCCTTCTCAATGGCATGTTTAATGAATTCAATCATACTTTACACATTGGTTATACATGAAGATGAGCAGTTGCAACTTTGTGCCTTTTTTTTAATGCAGACCTGCCACAGCTCATGGCAGCCTTGGTGGAAGCTGAGAAGTTTTTGGAAGCCTCAGGTTCACACCCCTGCCAGGTACCAGTAGTTTTCTGATAGACATGGGTTGTGTACATACAGAACAGATGGCTTTCTTTGTTGATAAACTGGTAACTTTTCTGAGTATTGTACTTACAGGTTATCAACTGTTATTGATAAATGAATGTATATGTTGCTGTGTTATAGGGCTACATTGTGCAAAAGAGAGAAAAGAAACCAAAACAAGATGGAAACCCTGCAGAAGAGTTGCTAACGTGAGTACCTTTAATTAAAAGATAATCAACATCAAGCAAAGATATATTTCATGGTATCAGCATGAAGCCTTTTTAAGTCATGGACAGATTGTCACACACATGGTCATCAAGAATCAAACAGGGATGCTTTCTAAACTTTTGGTTATTTCATCTACTGGTATGTCTAGAACATACATGTAGTTCTAAATCTTACCTTTATATAGGTATGCTGAGTTCCATCCCTTCCAGTTCAAACAACATGAGAAGAGCCCATGTGTAGAGTTTCCTTCCTTCAACAAGGTAAGAGTCAGCTCTTAAAGAATAATTTGCATGTGTCATCAAGTCCATCATAAGCAGCCAAAACAGGCAAAGGTAGTCAGAGACAATTAACATCAGAACATAGGGGTGTCAGCACATAGAACTGTCAGAACATAGAAGTGTAACCACTTTGGAAATTCAAAAGACGTAACACAATTAAAAACAAACTGTTTGTTTCTGGTGTCCAGGCCGTGGATGAGTTTTTCTCCCAGCTGGAGTCACAGCGGCTGGACCTGAAGGCACTACAGCAGGAGAGGGTCGCCATCAAGAAACTGGAGAATGTGAAGAAGGATCACGAGCGCCGCCTAGAAACCTTGCAGAAAGTGCAGGATGAGGACAAACGGAAAGCTCAGTTAATTGAGCTGAACTTAGATTTGGTAAGAGGATTGTGCTCAAAAATTATTTTGTTCCTAGAACTAACTACTAGTATATATTGTAGAGCCAGCTACTGGAAGTTACTATGAAGTACAAAAGGGGCATCCTGATTAGTTGGCTTTATACATTTTCTAGAACAAGATGTACAAAAGTTAGGTGGGACAGATCCTAACCACTAGTAATTCAAGATAATTCAGGAAGCCAAGGATCTGATTGCATACTTCACAGAAGTCTAAAATCTCTGATTTCTTGTTATATGTGTAAGAGAAAGAGAAAAGCCCTTTTTGCCTGACCAGAATTATTTATCTTACAACACACCTGTACATGTAGGTAGACAAGGCCATCCTGGTTGTCCGCAGTGCCATAGCTAACCAGATTGACTGGTCAGAGATATGGGATATTGTGAAGGAGGCTCAGGCACAGGGAGACCCTGTAGCCTCCACCATCAAGTCACTCAAGCTGGACAGCAACCACATCACTCTGCTCCTCAGGTAGGGCTTCATGATGGATGGGAAGGGCTGGACTTTTGTGTACTCGTGATTTTACAGCACACACCAGAGTGATCACTGTTTATCATGTATGGAAAATGCATTTGCACATACATAATTATGTACTTTTGATCACTTTTCAGACTCACTCACTCACTCACTCACACAGAAGATTTAGATTGACAAACCTTAGTTCTTCTCTATTGTGAATATAAAAATATGCTTTTAACACACTTTAATGATGAAGCCATGACAGAATGATGAAGAGTAAAACTGTATGACACATGTTTTTGTCTGGTTACAGGAACCCGTTCTCTGGTTATGAGTCTGACAGTGAGGGGGATGAGGATGAGGCAGGGATGGGGAGGGAAGTGTCCACTGACCGGCCCATGAAGGTTGACATCGACCTGGCACTGTCAGCTTATGCTAATGCCAAGAAGTAAGTATCTGGTATATCACATTCTCTGACATGAATACAAATCAACCATGTTTTATGTATGTCAACACACTGTACCGGTATAACAGGTGAAGGGGATGCATGAGACCATTTTACATCACACATAGGAACTTGGAGATGTTGATGATCTGCTGTTTTCTTATGCAGGTATTATGATCAAAAGAGACATGCTGCAAAGAAGGAACAGAAAACAATAGATGCCTCTGAGAAGGTAAGATCAGTACTTTTCTCTTTGGTGCTTGAAGTGTTAATGTTGAAATTGGTTGCCTAAAGATGATGCACTCAACACAAAATGACACTGTCTTGTGTGTGTCTTTAGGCAGTGAAGAATGCAGAAAGAAAGACAAAGGAAACACTGAAAGAGGTGTCCACAGTAACCAAGATAAACAAGGCCAGAAAAACATACTGGTGAGTAACTGGTGAGGCAAAGAACTGGACAAGTAAACAGATTTATTTTGTGTGGACTATCATTTTTAAAAGATATTAAACATTCACTCATACAGCCATAATTTCTTTTTATCACTTGTTTTGCCATTACCCTATGGCAGGTTTGAGAAGTTCCTGTGGTTCATCACGTCTGAGAACTACCTGGTGATTGCCGGGCGGGACTCCCAGCAGAACGAACTCATCGTCAAGAGACATCTCAAGCCAGGTGGGTCAGCAATGGTCATCTCCAAGCAGATGTAAGGTCCACTCTGTTTAGCACAAGAGATTGAAGCTGGTGTGTTACGCTGAAAGGCGGTTATACCGGCTATACAGATACAGATACAGAGATTGACAATGTTGTAAAGACTAGCTAATAGTGAACTATAGTCAGTTTAGGTACTAAGTAAATTAACACGCTGAGATGATGATGGCTTCCTTCAAAAAACTTACGGGCAATGAGTTGAACTTCTTGACCTATAAATGCTTGTACTGTTCCCTGTTGCAGGTGACCTGTATGTCCATGCTGACCTGCATGGAGCCACCAGCTGTGTCATTCAGAACCATACAAGTAAGGACACAACAAAGCTGTATGATTTTCTCCTTATACGTGTGCCTTTAGCACTCTTGTATTATCAGAATCAATATTGTATTTTAGAAGACCTTAATACATTGTAATCTGTCAAGCATTGTCACTCTGCATCAATGTTTGTACAAGTTGTTGGTTTGAAACCTGGACTCATGTCATGGAAGTGAACCAGACACAACAGTCTTCAAAATGTCAACCATACCCTGCCCTTTCCTCATACCCTAGGACTTAGGTCTGCTTCTCATTATATGCTTCAGTGTGTTAGATATTTCATATGTTAAGCTCTAAGACTGCTGTACCCTCCCAGGTAGCTCAGTGCCACCCAAGAGTCTGAATGAGGCTGGGACCTTTGCCATCTGCCACAGTGCAGCATGGGACGCCAAGGTGGTGACGAGTGCTTGGTATGTGCACCATGACCAGGTATGGAAAACCATTCATTCTGTGTGTGTTGTTTTTAAACCAGACCAAAAATGCTTTTATAAAAGTACATCATGTACATGTACATTTCCTTCATGCTTTATAAGCTTCTGTTTTTTCTATCTTCTGTTCTAAAATATTGGCTTGGGAAGAAATGGTATGCATTTTGGCCCTCCAGCAGCTATTGTAGGGCATACTTTTGTTGGATCTCTATGCTTTTTGTGTCTTACCCACTATCAAGTTGTCGTTTGGCGGGTATGCACATGAAAATCCTGCTTCATAAGCATCATGTGTCAATTTTGTCTTAAGGTCTCTAAGACTGCCCCGACTGGAGAATACCTGACCACAGGAAGCTTCATGATCAGAGGTGGGTGGAAATTGTGTACAGCTGCCTCTGCAGCTCTAATCAACTTCCATAGATTGCATGATGTGTAGTGCTTTTGCTGCTGTCCATACAAATTTTGTCAAAGATTTAACAAAACCTCACCCTCTACAGGTAAGAAGAACTACCTGCCCCCATCCCACTTGATCCTGGGCTTTGGATTCATCTTCAAGGTGAGCAGTACTTTGTGTACATGCACTTCTGGAAATGCATAGCTTTTCTTTAAAAAGTGCACAAGTTTTGCCTACATACAGGAGAAAATAGGATGATACGGATGTGTTCTTTATAAGTCAAATACTACCACTCATTGCCTTGTTGTGTTCTGACTAGGTTGAGGACTCTTGTATCTGGAGACACAAAGATGAGAGGAAAGTCCGTGTAGCAGAGGAAGATGAGGAATCAGTGGCAGACTCACAGGCAGTTAGTACTGTTGGTTAATTTAGGTTTGCAGTAGAAGGGACAGGAGGGGCTTGTGGTGTTAACTGCTTCATCCAATATGTCCAATTTACATTGCACATCCACTGTTTTAATACACTGTTTCAACAACAACTTCCTTTCTCACATCTCTAGACTGAAGGTAACCCTGAGGTAGATGTGCAGGATGACGTCCAGAGTGGCAGCAGCGGCACAGAATCTGGGGAAGAGGCAGCCCCAGAGGCTGCTGGGAAAGAGGGAATACACCCAGGGGATGAGGTGGATCCAGAGGCTACTGGTGATTCTAGTCATCTATTGTTTACAAAGCTTTAGTTTAACTTTTCATGCCTGAGATTTAAAAACGAAGCTAGCGTTTAACTGTATCAATAATGTCCTGGTGTAACTAAGATGTGCTATTGTGAATTTCACCAATCAAATTCTAACCTTTGCAAATTGATTTTAATTCAGAGTCTGTGCATTTTTCATTAAGCCTATCTTGAATCTTGATGAACATACATTTTGTTCAGTCACTGTAGTAGTAGAGGAGGAGGCAAAGAACATTCAGGAAGAAGAGGAGGAGGCAGAAGAGGACAGTCTGTTCCCTGATACAGGCCTCACCTTCCAGCATGTGGGTGGTGGAAAGTAAGTTATGCCGTTTACAAATAGGGTACTACTGTGTGTGTTTCTCCATTTCATGCTTTTTTGGTTTGTGCATCCTTGTAACTCAAGTTTCTGTGTTTATGTAGGGTAGATAAAGCATCTTTTCTTGATTAACATGTTATTTTGGATGTCATTGTTAGTGTCATTTTCCTAACTCATTTAGAAGGAGAAGTCTGTAGTATACATATACTAGTACTGTACTCTGTTATTGCATTGTTTTGTCCATTTTGTTTGAATGTTGTTATGTTCTTCTTGTTCATGTCTTTATATTGTTTGTTTGCTTGTTTGTTTTGTGTTGTTTTGTTTTGTTTTGTTTTGTTTTCCCCACTCAGCAACAGGATTAGTCACAACACATGTCTTCCAGACAACTTATTGCAAATATTGGACAATTTCTTATAGCTTTTAACAAAACTTAACTCAGCCATGATGTATTTCTGATATCAATACACTTGGTTCTGTCTCACTGATAAGTGATGAAGAGGCCATAAATGGAATAAATGAATCAGAAGGCTCAAAAGAGGAGGAAGGAGTTGAAGATGGGACAGAGGAAGTGGAGGAACAAAATGGAAACATGGAAAATGGGGAAAGGTAGAGAGAAATGAGCAGCAAAAAAAAGCTCACAACAGGCCCAAATCTAAGTAATCTTATTACCAATCTGTTAGCATTGTGAGATTCAAGTTCATGTATCAAATCCAACACAGAAGATGTCAATGGGTGATGAACAAGAGGGAATGGAAACTTGAGGGCAATGAATCCTAAAGAATGTTTAGAAAAATTTTATCTCTGATTCTACAGAATATTTTGGCAATTTTTGATGACAAAATTCCTATGTGACTTTTCATCAAGGTTCAACACAAATAAAAAGACTTATAGGCCCATTTTTGATTGCTTGTATCATAAATTGAACAAGTGATGCAGCAATGCTCTCGTCTTACTTTGCTTAAGATTCAAGTTGACTTTTGTTACAATGGATACAACTCAGTGATATTCCAGTGATCACAAGAAAACATTAAATTTTGAAATCTAAAAAAATGCTACATAATTTATATAAAACCCCAAATAGAACTTAAAAATAAATGTGCAGAATAAATTAAGACAATTGATGATCTCCTGTTTATGCAAACATAATAACAATCCAATGGCTTCCAGAATACAATGTATCAGACAGATCAAAGATATTGTCAATGAGCAACATTCAGGCATAAATGTTACACATGGGAAACATGGTTGTTTGGTATCTTACAATTCTCTGTGTATCACCACTGACAGGTTTGAGCTGCACAGAGCCCCTAGTGAGACAACAGAGGACGACACAAAGATCTACCTGGGTGATGATGAGATGTTAGATCTCAACCAGGTAAATTCTCCTGACTGGTGCAAGACTGCAGCAGGATTTTGAATGTTTTATGGTGTGCCAGGGCAGAATATGTATGTGAATGAGACAGCTACATGAAATTTAAGTTGGATGCCTTTCAATGCTACTTTTGAATTGTTCAGAGTTTCTGATACACTTATTTCTTTTTTTTTTTTTCAGTTAACTGGCAATCCTCGTCATCATCTTTCTGCAAAACAAAGAAAGTATGTCAGTTGGTAACCATATACATGTAGATTAGTTTAAAAGGTTGTACATGTAGTTGTGTAACCTGTACTTATGGGTAATGAAAGTATGGGTACTGAAAACAGTTGTGAAGACTTGCATGGCAGCATACAGATTTTTCAGAACTGTGAATAGTCACCTGTAAATTTTAATAAAACTTGAAAAAGATTGCTTTTGGACCTGTTGCCAAATCTGATGGATGATTAATATTGCTAGTGGCTGATTTTTTTGGATGACATGTCCTGTAACTTCTGTTCCTTCTGCTGCACAGAGAGCTGCGACGTAAGAAGAAGCAGACCCCCCACGGAGATGAGGAGAGTGAGGATACCCAGTACTTTGCAGACAGGTCAGGCCAGGAGGAGAACCAGGCTCCACAGCAGGGGGGGTTCACGGAGAATGTGGTGAGAATGACAAACTTCAGACTGGGATTTATCCTACAAGTACTATAGCTACGTTACTCTGTTGTTTGATTTCTTTTTCTCTTTGTCAACAATAGACTTATAATGTGAATGAAATACTTTCTGTAGGAACAAAAGGACTCACAGCTCCCTCAACCCAAGAGAGGACAAAGGGTAAGTGAATGAAATAAGCATATTGTAGTTGTTACTGAGCCTAATGAATTAGCAATGCATCATTATGGTCAGTCACCATTCAGCAAAGTGCCTTCATGGCCCTCTCCCCACCTGGGGAACTGTAAGTGGTAATTTCTCAGAGGTTTGTGGAGTGAGAGTGGTTTATTCAATCTTCCATCTTCATCATACTAACGTAGCTATTTGGCACAAAAATTTGTACTAGCTATGGGTTTAGGCTAGCCTCCTTCGCAGTCTTGTTGGGCGTGGGCGTAATTTTTTCTCTGAGCGACGCGAGTAATATGCCGCCGCGAGGGACGATTTGCTGCCGAGGGACTTTTGCCACGGAGAGAAGGTTTCCACGCTCCAACAAGACTGCTTGCAATCGGCAAGTAGAAAGGACCTCGGATTAAGCCAGCCTTTCATAGAGGCTATTAACATGTTCGTGCAGGTCCAATTCACATGTTCGCGCAGGTCCAATTCACATGTCCGCGCAAGGGTAATTCACAGATACGCTCGCCTTTGTCAACGGTTGGTTTTATTAGCTTGCGTTACGTTATAGTCGAAGGTTCCAACAGAAAAAGAGTGAACATTGGTAATGTTACAACAAAGTCATTGCTGTGCATATTTAAGCGTCCCATGCAAACAAACCAAGACAAACTTTGCAGTATTATTTTTGCTGGTGAAATGTGCCATTCTTTCTATTACGCAACTTGCTGCGGAGCGGTGCGTTACCCTCCCATGAGCAGTGAGATCAACCCGCCACCAAACAACATGGCGGCACTTTGTTTATCTGTCCACGTCTCCCAGCAATATCACAGTTAAGCTTACGGGTTCCTGTGGTAGTGATTTGTTCAAAGTTGTTTTTCGTAGCAGCAACGTCTCCGGGATTTTGTTGAGTGGATAGGGCTCGGTTTTCGGGAATGGTTGGCGTTCTACCGACGGGTTGATCGGCGACCGCTAGAAAGTTACAAGGTTTGGCTTGTCGAGCAACGGGGCGTGAACACCACCCTGCACTGGTGGCGTTTATGGCAGGAAGTTCACACATCCATGCCAATCGCTCCTAAGTGTTTTTTGATAGCCCTTTCTACTCGCCGATTGCAAGCAGTCTTGTTGGAGCGCGGAAACCTCTCCGTGGCAAAAGTCCCTCGGCAGCAAATCGTCCCTCGCGGCAGCATATTACTCGCGGCGCTCAGAGAAAAAATTACGCCCACGCCCAACAAGACTGCGAAGGAGGCTAGGTTTAGGCAGGAATATGTATAAGTCATTTACATATGCATTTATGACAATGAGGTTCCTATTTGCCTCTATTAAAAAGCATGCAAACTCATGAATGATTAATTTGTGTCCAGGCAAAACAAAAGAAGATGAAGAAGAAGTACAGGGACCAGGATGAGGAGGAGAGACAGATGAGGATGGAGCTTCTTAGGGTGAGATGGACATGTGGAATAATTCTGTACTCAACTATTGTATCAAACTTTTATCTACAATGGTACATGCTACCATTATGGGATTCTTCGTGGTCAAACTCTTCTGTTCTTTTTGCCATAGGATTATAGATATACATGTACATGAATGATGACATTGACCTGTGTGTTTTTATTGTATCTGATTGTAAAAGCTTATATAATGTATGGTTTGGTACATCCATCCTTGCTCCATCCTTGTGACCACAGTCTGAGGGTAACCCAGATAAGGATGATAAGAAGAAGAAAGGAAAGAAGAACAAGCAGAAGGAGCAGCATCAGCAGAGACCACAGTCTGCACAACAAAGGAAACAAGGTTGGGAGAGATTTTTACTCAAGCACATCCTGCATGTAAACTCCTTACAGGTTCTGTCCTTGGTGGGAATAGCAATTGTTTAGAAGTGCACCAAACTTGAATTGCTACCATACATGTGCATATACTTTCTTTTCTGTAGGAAAGGAAGGACAGGCATCTCATGCATTCAAGGATTCTATGGTCATTCATGAAGATGATGCCACCGTGCCAATACAGGCCCATGTGCAAGGTAAAACTGTTAAGCACTGTTTCATTCTTGCATCACAACTACTACAATCTGTGACTTGAATTTGACACTGAAATGTTCACCTGCCACTTTTTTGTTAAATTATTCACAGTCACTTCAGATAAGTGATAGGTCTCACACATTATTGTATTAGACTATTTAGATACCTTCAAGATTTCTCCATTGATGTATTCTGCAGAAGGAGAAATTCCCAAGGAAGAGCCAGAATCAGATGAAGAGAAGGATGCCATCCTGGCAGGGGAAAACATCAAGCTTGTAGAGGTCATTATTTTCTTTGTTTGCTTGCTTGCTGCACTCGACCCCATTGTAATTAAAGATATATAGTCATACCTACATACATGTCCATAGTAACAGACAAAGCACAAGTTTTGATCATGTTGGCAAGAAGTCTTGACTGAGCTTGGTGTAAGATTCAGAGTTCTGGATGTTCTCTCTGTCTGCAGGCTGAGTCAGTTCTGGACACACTGACGGGCTGTCCACACCCGGAGGACATCCTACTCTTTGCCATTCCAGTTTGTGCTCCGTATTCTGCCATGAACAACTTCAAGTAAGATTTTCTCTTGTTGATGCATAGCTACTCTTTATAGTATAGACAGAATGATACAAACTATTTTTTCACACTTCATACATACAGAAAATTCAAAGTGATCATCATGCACTTAGACAGACCGTCCATTACAAAATCTCAGTCCTTACATTTCCATCATAACAAAGAAACAAGAGGCAGAAACATGTTAGATTTATTATGGTACTCAATCTACATCATATGTTTGTCTGCTACTCTTCTTTTTCAGTGGCCTGTATTTCACCCTACAGAGCAAATATGTATTTTTTTTTGTGAAGATTAATAGATTTGTACTTCTTTTGTAACAGGTACAAGGTTAAGTTGGTCCCTGGTTCTAACAAGAAAGGAAAAGGTAAGCATGGATGTAAGATAGGAAACAAAGCTGTTATACCCCCAGTAGTTTTTACATTATCTAGCAGTAATGATTGTCCTGTTTTTAGTGAGTCCAACCCATGTGCTAAAAAAAGGAATGTTGTCTTTTTGCCATCTTTTTTCCACTTAAAGTTACAAACCTTCTAACCCAAAAAACTGTATGCTGTAGTCAAGTTCTCTATGAAGAATTTAACTTTAATTAATTACATTGGGGTGTGATATGAATCCTCTGTACCTTGTCATTTCACAGTGGCAAAGACAGCATTGGGCATGTTCACATATTCCAAGGAAGCTAGTTCTATGGAAAAGGACCTCTTCAAAAGTGTGAAGGTATGTCAACAGCCCTTACTACCAGTACTTCTTGTCCACTGAGTGTCAGGTGTGTTGAGCAAATGGTATGTTCACTCTAGAACCAGCTGTAACGCTTACAAATAGGCTCAGTAAGAAAGCTCCCCAGCAAATTGTACCTGTTTTCTGTAGTGAGACAATAGCTTTGTGCACTTATTCTTGAGCAGTGTCTAACTTTTGCAATTAGTCTTTGACCCCTTCAAGATTTGTTCAGCAACCTTGCCATGGTCTGAATGTGTTTTTCCTGTCATACAGGATGCAGATCTGTCCCGGGGCATCCCTGGGAAAGTAAAGATGTCAGCTGCCAACCTGAACCAGCTCAAACAGAAGAAGAGATGACGAGTTCAGAACCAGCGTGTTGGAGGGCAGAACAGTTGCTGTCAGAACTAGTGTTTGGAAACAAAAGATTGGAAAAAGTCTTTGTGTCAAACTTAAGCAAGTAACAATAAGGTGCAAACTTGTCAAATTTCAAAGTTCAGAAAAAAAAACATTTATCAAGAACATCAGAAAGTATATCAAACATCACAACTTTGCATTTGCCAACACTTACAATGTTATTACTGGTGTAAGGCAATTAAGCCCTGTAACAATGCAACTGTCAAATCTCATTGTAAATCATACTCATGTTTATGAACTTAAACACTATTAGACAGAGGCATTGGTGAAGGTTACTCATTCAGGGTAGTAATAATAATAAGAAAGTAGTTTAGTCTTCTGAAACTAGATGAATTTTTAATCAGTACACTTTTCATTTTTACTTATTAAAAATCCATCCAGTTTGAGAAGAATAAACTACTTTATTATTATTATTAGACAGATAACATCTGAATAGTTTTCTGTTACAATATGAAAATACAGGACTTTGGCAGCCATGTTCCACAAAGCGTGGTCAGAAACAGATAAAATGTAAAAGCTATTGGACTCTATAAAAGGACTGAAGGAAATAACCCCAATTTATTGATTAGTTCCACACAGTTATTATATGCTGAACAGATATTTTCACACAGGAATATTATATAAATAAAGCAAGCACAAAGTCTGTTGTGCCATGGAATCATTTCACTGGATTGGCTATTTATATCTCTTTCACTCTCTTCATTCTTAGTATTTAAGGTTTGTACCTCTATAAATCTTAATAATATAAAAGACAGCATTCAAGATTCATTTTGCAACACATTTACACGCTTTCAAACAAAATGCTAGTTCCCAAGTAATGTCTAGGACTAGTTAGTTTTAGATTAGTTCAATATCATATATATATAAAACATCACACCCCAGAGCCTGTTAAAATGGAAATGCAAAGGTAAGCAGGGTTTGTGTTATCATTTGAGGACAGTCAGAGCTCTACACTTTCCACACAACAAGAAACTAATACAATGTATTATCTGCATAGCACCATCGGCAAGTGTAAGAATTGTCCTTCAGGATAATGTTATGTACATGTACCTGATTCAAGGTACAACAATTTACATGTATGTCATACATGACTTCTTTTTATGTCTGGCCAGTGGAATTTTTTCCTATTTTGTGCAGACTTATCTTGACATTGCAGTGCCATTGTAATTTTGCCAAGGAGGAATGACATCCTTGATGAAAAAAGTCCCTGTCCCTGAAATCATGAGCAGCAGTATAAGAACACCCCAAAGGCATAGTTGTTTTCCAAGAAGGATTTAAGAATTACCGTAGTGTTAAGCTAATATATTCTGCATTGGTTTAAGGCAATACTAGCTGACTGCAAACTTCTTCTTCCCCTTGTCATTGATGACACAGATGTGGTTGATCTCCCTGAAGTGTTCGTTGTAGTCAATGCCGTAGCCTACTATAAACTTGTTGGGGACTTCAAAGCCGATGTAGTCTGGTCTGTATCCACAACTGTCTGGTGTCCTCTTCACCAACAAACTGAGAACAAAACAGGTAAATGAACAGGTAAATGAATGATAAGTTATTCTCCAAGCATATGCAGTACAATGTATCCCGCTCAGTGTATTATACATGCTTATGCAGCATTTAGTACATCTTTGATGTAGTGTACTTTTTTTACTCTTCACCTTCTCCTATATAGGGAAAGGGGAAGAGAGAAATGAGCACCAATAGATAGATATTAGATAGTAAAAACCCAAAAATGTGAAAACACCTATTGTAAGAGCTAGCTGATGTTACATACCTTGCAACTTTAATCATCTTAGGTTGATAGTCCTGTATAATAGGCAGGAGTTGCTGCATGGATGTGCCTGTGTCAATCAGGTCCTCCACAATGAGCACATTCTTTCCTAATGGGAGCAGAAGAACAAAAGCAGAGTTAAGTCCCTGCCTCACCTAGATAAAATCCATTGTTTTCATCATAGAAAACAAAAGACTAGTCTGCTGTTGATAAGCATTTGTGTTTTATCACAGATCACAACCTACTGCTGAAGTGAACTGATTAAGGGAATAACTTATGCACAGTTCAAAACTGACAGGTGTTGTTATTGCTGGTTGTTGCTATGTTCTACTTGAATTTTTTTCATAAAAATGTCTAAGAATCACATAACATTGCATAAACATTACCAGGCAGTACATAGTGTGTCAACAAACTGAGAATGTAGGCCAATGTAGCACAATAACTCAACATGGCAACCAGTCATGCATTCCTGACCATCAAAACAAGCTGGTGTTGGTACTGAAATTGGTTCAGGGCTATCCTACCACTTTAGGTAGCTTCCATAGATTCAATTTTAATGATTGCTTCTCTGGATTTTTTTTTTTTTTTTTTTTTTTACAAAATTTGCTTTGAGCTAATCCTGGCCCAGTGTAGCTCGGATATGGCCTTATACATGTATTAATATTTTTGTGGAGGGGGGGGTGTTTGAAGAATTAATGAAATTGTGTCCTTGGTTAAGCCAGTTAAGTCCTGGTGCGCCAGCCACTTTCATTTTATGTTAATGCTATACTTTATGTCATCTTTATGTTTACATTTGTATTATGTTTTATGAGCAGCGGATTTACATAAGCACAACAAGTGCTTCCTATCCAATGCTCAACAATCCATGTGAATAAAATAAAAATAAAATAATAAAAATAAGCATTATTAGTAACTGTTAACGTTAACGTTACATCAAATACATACATGGTCAAGTATAATATTCTGCTGATATTGGACTTTAGTAGGGCTATCTTTCATTCTTTTGTATCATCACACTGGTTTCCCCAAAATAACAATAGAAAGTGCTGTGATTGCAGTATCAGGACTGTGCATTCACGAAATATCAAGGGCATTGTACCAAAATACTCGGAAAGCGAATGTGGAGAATTTGAACAATGTAAAAGGGGTCAGGAGGGATTGCAGGGGTAGAGGGGTTGAGATTGGGGTCAGGCAAAACTTTCCCTACAAATCTGTGAAAAATAAATAGTTACAAGCTCTTGACTTGGAGATAAAGAAGCCAATATTTAAGGGAACGTCATATTTTTTCGGCCTTCCCCGCGATATTTCCTGGTCGGTCGCGTTTGGCGCGCAATGACGGTGCGATGGGACAACAGATATTAAAGACCGAAACAATCAACGCTGGCGCTAAATTTAGTTAGAATTGATTTTTACTCTGCCATGACTACACATATGAAATTTTTGCATCATTACATTTACGTATGATTTATTCAACTTCTCTTAAGTGTGTAAGATCTTGCGACAGCGAAGAAACAAGTTAATGGCAACAGGTCAACACTTACCCGCCAAATTGCCCAGGCCCTTTGCACCTGTTACGGTGACGTTGCCCGTGGACTTGTCGTTCTTGTAGCTCTTGACGCTGATGAAGTCGAGCGCCAGGGGGAACCAGGGGGTGAAGGTGCCGTTGATGCCGCTCACGGCCCGGGTCAGGTCGGAGAAGAAGCGCGCTCCGCCCTTCAGCACGCAGAGCGCCACCACGGGGGTGTCGCAGCCGAAGTCCCGCAGGATGTGCTGCACCATCCGCTCGATCCGGTCCTGTATCAGCCCGTGGGGGATCACCACCCCCTCCAGGTACTCCGTGTACACGGGCGGGATGCACAGCGACGTGGCGGGAAGGTATTTGTCGTCCTCTATCGTAATGAAGTCACCCATGGTGTGTTTCCTGTCCCGCCGTACGTACGAGTGATACCACGATATTACAATAACACTGCGTGACCCTTGACCCCTCCAAGGGCGATCGGGCCAACGGACGGTCCCACTCCAAAAGTTCAAAGGCATGGAAAATTCGAAGCACAGAACGCCTTTGAAATGTAAGAAATTCACGCAATTCTTTTAATCAGACGTAAAAATCATCCACGAGCAGTTTGCAACATTCTCACATTAGGCCATGTTGATTTGATTATATGGATGACATCCACGCGCGCATGAATTTTCGGCCGTTTCCAAAAAAAAAAAGTTTTCAACCAATGAACCATACTGTAAATCGTGCAAAACAGTTGCTAAATGAGCAAAAATATACCATAAGTTGCAAGGAAAATAAGTAAAAACTATACCAATGCCGTAGAATGCCAAAATCAAACGAAAAAAGACGAAATTGTAAGGAAATGAACTTGAAGATTAGATTATTCGCCAACCCATATTCTGTGTCCCATTTGTTCAACCCTCATGACCACGTAGATTTCATAATGAAATCAAACAACTTTTTTTTTTTGCAAAACTTTTTTTTATTCGCACGCGCGCATCAGTTTTGGGGATCCCGGAGGATGTCATCCATATAATCAAAACAACATGGCCTTATTAACCGAAAACAACTCCCTCTGTGTAGACTAGGGCTGCGGACCGGTACACTGTACCGGTCCAATACCGTAAAAATCGTTTCGGTACAGGTCCAAAATACCGGATCATGAAGTAACGAGTATATACCGAAATAGCTAGTTTACACCATGTATATGACTAAAGATAGGTAAATCCTACCACAAAGACGAAAAATTAGCATTGGAAAAGACGTAAACACCGTTGATTGATTTGAGATCCTCAGTCTCACGAGACATCGCGAGAGTGTGGCTGATCCAGGGTTGTGATTGGAAGATACTGACAAGTTGTCAACACTTTATTATTGTTTGTGTCATGATTGAAAAAGTGAAGAACACGTGTTAATTTGTCAAATTGTTCAGGTACAGGTACAGGTCCGGACCTGTACCTAAACCTCTGTACCGGTACTTGTACCTGTACCTGATGTTGCGTTTAGGTACGCAGCCCTAGTGTAGACAACTACGCGTATACGATACAGTGCAACTATCAAAAGGTCATTGAACTGTACCCCTCCTTATTCTTAATGGAGCTCTGCAAACTCACAGCTGAAAAATACTGGCATGTCTATCCTCTAAACAGTAGGCTTCGACTCAGTATTCTATGTGTGTTTTCTAGTGGCCCGGCTTCAAATTACTGCAAAAAAAGGACCTGTACAACTCTGAGCCTTACCCTGCATCTGCTTGGAGATTGGTCGACCCAATAAAAAAGGCCCCCAGGGCATTTGCGTTTCCATGCGAAGCGTCTTTCTGACATATTCCTTTGGGAGTAAATACACGGTCAAACTTCTCCATACAACGTATGCTTGCGGTCTAATGTGTATCAAGGAGGTCACACAACCTTATCCACACGTCTTTGAATCAAGTCCGACCGTCAGCTGGCTTTCAACGTACCTGACATTTCAACCACTGGAAGTAATGCGCTAAGGGCAATCCCAATGGAATACAGATCCGAGATATTCGTTAAACCATCTGCATTGTTTAGCGAGAGAGAGCCTGATAATATCTATGGTATGAATTATGAAAACCTATGTTTATCATCTATCCGAGACAATATTGCTCAGTGTTAACCCATATATGATATACATGCTATGAATCACACTTAACAGAGAGTTGTCTGCACGTTGTGTAACACGATGTCTTGCTGGAAATTAAGGGTCGTCGCTGGGGGCTACCACTGTTCATACCTCACATTGCCCCGCCCTCTTACAACACTAGTACATGTCACATACAAGCAATACGCAAAGGAGGCCCGGTACATATGTGTGGCGTGTTTACGATTATGTCAAGCTTAGCTTTTGTTAAGCAAACTAGGTTAATCTGGACGCTGTAATTATATATATATATATATATATAGCTTCAGTGTGACCCTTACTGTGACCAGGTCACTGAGGATTTACAGTAACTTTATTGAAAGTATGCAAAACATTTGCTGAGTTCCATGATAATTGGTTACAAATTCTGATTGCTTAGGAACGTTACATGTCGTAGGAAATAGCCAGCACAGCAGTGGAAGTGGTGTGGGGCAACAAAACTACTGGACAGCAACATATGCAGTTTGATGTATGGTACTGGCACTGAAAATGACTTCATTCGACAGACATCAGCGGATTTGCTATAATGTTACCCAATATCTTTACAGCTACTGTTAACAAAAAGAAACCATGGAGTTAGAACGAAGGGAGACTTCTAACTCCATGAAGAAACGTATGAGAAGCTGTCACCATCATCAGTGCTTATGTCCGGTTCTCCCGCGTGCCCTCCGGGGCTGTGGCAATACTACCCTGCGTCGTGCTACTTATCATAACTTTGTACGTATCCATACAACATACGTGTCAAAAATTGCTTTTCATGTATTGTACAGGTTTACTGGTCACTGACGGTCCCATGTGGAACGCAACACGTGTACAACATTGAGCCGGACCCTACATCTGCTTGGAGATTGGTCAACCCAATGTGCCTCATTTTCCACTTTAAGCTATTATAATAGGATTTCTGACATATTCCTTTGGGAATAAATGCACTATCATACTTGCAGCTTATGGTTATAGCCTAATGTGTATCACGGTGGTCAAACAGCCTTGTTTGTAGTTTAGAACACGTGAATAGCAAAGCGCTTCCGACAGATGGCTTTCAACGTTATTTTCCTGGCAGTAATGCTCTGAGCTGAATGCAACCCTGATGGAATGCAGATCCGAGATATTCGCTGAAACATCTGCGTTGTTTAATGAGAGAGAGAGAATGGGAGAGAGAGTGAGTGAGACAGAGAGAGAGAGAGAGAGAAAGAAAGAATATCTATGGCATGAAAGGCCTATATAATCCATCACACCAATTGCCTCTTAAACAGTGTCCATATGCTCGGAATCACGGTGAACAGAGAGTTGTCTACTCGCGGTGTCTTGCTGGAAGTTAATAAGGGTTGTCGCTGGGGGCTATCGCTGTTCAAATTCCACATTGCCCCGCCCTCTTCTCTAGCTCAAAAGTTAAATTCATTCGCTGTGAAACAACATTAAATACTCTACAGCTACATGGAAAACTTCATACATGTGACAAGCAAGACGCAAAGGACGCCCGGTACACATGTGTAACGTGCACTACGATGCTGCCAAGCTTGTGTTACGCAAACTAGGCTAATCTGGACACTATAATTATAGTTTCAGTACCATCGAACTCTTAACCAGGTAGGATTCAAAGTAACTTGAAAAAAAAAGACATGGAGTTCCGTGACATGATAATTGGTTACAATTTCTGATCGCTAAGTAACATTACATGTCGAAGGAAAGAACAACGTAACAATGGAAGCAGTGTGAGCCAACGTAAGTATAGTACTGGACAGATTAGTTCTATATACAGTTTGACTGTACTGCCACTGAAAATCATTTTTAAACTTCATTCGACAGCCATCAGCTGCACCATGTTACAGTATTTCGACTCCCCACTCACCATCACCCGGATCATGTGTCATATATACTTTTAATTAAGTACCCAATTTCTTTACAGCTTTAGTTTACAAACAGACACGCACTTAAAACAGCCCGGTCGTCCCGTGCCCTCCGGGGTATGGAAATACTCATCAGCGCCGTGCTACTTATCATAGCTTCATACAACAGACGTGTCAAAATTGCGTTTCAGTCTGCATATATTGTACAGGTTTAGTGGTTACTTCTTGCAGACTCCTTGTCGTGGAAAAAATTGACCAAGGGGACTTAGCCGGTTATATAGTTAATGGTCTAGTGTTTGGTCAGACCTATTCACAAAAATACATATGCACATGTATGTCCTCATGAATATGAACTGCCCTAAAGTTAGGCAACACACAAAATCCAGTCCTACACATCGGAACCTATGCCAGATTGATAGGTAATGTCGAAGAATGGTAGAAGCTGTCCGAGTCTGCGCATCTGCGCGATGTCATGGCTCCGTCTTGCCAAAGCCTGGCGACACTCCCGCTCCAGACCGGACACGGTGATCATGGTTTTCCCGCGACTCTTGTACGCCTCCAGGACGGCCTCGAACTCATCAGGGGCCGCCAACTTCAGCTCTGCGATGCCCAGGTAGTTCTTCACCGTCAGCTTGGCGAAGCTCTCCCGGCGGAAGGCATCTGTCATGGTGAGTGTGCTGTCTTCTCGCAGGTGCTGCAGAATACGGGCGTACCTGGCGTGAATGGGATGGAGGTTGTTACCGAAAGTCGCTCTGTACTCTATCCCACCGGAGCTGTCGCCCTTCCGGCGTCGCACCGGGCCCGCCTCGGTGGACCCACTGGACCCATTGGACTCGGTCGGAGAGTACTGCTGTGGCATCTCTGTGGCCGGAGAGGAATAGCCACTGGAAGAGAATGTCGCTGCTTCAGTCATTGGTTGCATATCGGTCGTCCTGGCCTGTGGAGGACACAGACGTTTGGATGAACTGACGTCGTTTTCGCCGGGCGAGTGCGACCTCTTCTCGCCGTGCCTGACTGGAGCAGTGTCCGGGAGGAACGTTCGGTACCGGTGTAACAGCAGCAGGGAGACGTACAACACCGGCGCCAGCCGACGGTGGCTCTGCATGACGGGGCTGCTGCCGATGTGGAAGCGGGCGTCGCACAAGTCGCAGAGGCCCAGTGCCTTGCTCTGGTTGTAGCCGACGCACGCCGCGTCCAGGCACACCCATTTGGCGGGCTTCCCGCACTCCACGCAGTGGAAGTTACGAGATGCCGCATCAAACTCCTTCGCACGCCTCAAAATCCATTCGGCTCGAGAGCCTGGGTACGTGAGGTTGTTGCCTTCCATCTTGCTCCTTAACTGCAGTGAGCTGAGAGCGCGGGAATGCCACGTCAGTGCAGGTACCGTGACTGGACAAACCTGTTCTTACCCATCTGCTGACTACTGTGATAAAGTGTCTCTACATGGGTGTCACTAGTGCTAAGAACAAAGGAGAGGCACATTTCATACAGGTAGTCCGGCCGGTTGATCGGACAGGTGTATCATTGCTTACAAATAGCTGGTTCATTTTGTCCAGCTTTGTCTGTCTTTGATTCTGCTTTTAAAACTATTGTGCGGCACTAGAATCACAGTTTCGTTGATACATATCAACAGTTAGGCTCGTCATTGTTATGTTCACGAGTCAAAAGAGCAAATCAACTAATCAAGCGACGAAAAGTTGCTAATCTAGTATGCAAATTACAGACCTGATACGTGTGACCTATTCCCTGTGGAGAATGTTGATTACGTAACGTTACACATGTCGTTTTCCTTTCGAAACTCATACGAAACTCATGATATGTCCGGACTGTCTCGTAGATTGGGTGGTCGATCATCGTGTTTCTTATAACTACCTTGTGTCAATCTTTGTTAAGGGCAGCGAGTGAACTGCTACCCTGGTACAAATGTATCAGGGTATTTCACCACCAAGATGTTTCGCCGTCGAAGGCCGCTGAAAAGCTATGATTGAGGGTCAGGCGTCTTCTTGACACCGAAACGAACAGAATGAGCTAGTTTACTGCTAGTACCTAAGGCGATGATCCCTATCAAGGCCTTTGTTTTTATTTTCCATTCTTGGCCTTTTAGTGGTACAGCCTGACATAACTTTATGAAGTCCAAAATATAATATAATGCATTCCCCCCTCCCCTTCCTACTTGATAGAACGGGGTCATCTCAGTTCAAACTCATGATGTTCTGTTGATGTCAACGTCAATACGATTCCAAATTCTCCAGGACAACTCCATGGCAACAAGGTGTTCGAAAATCATACCATGCTTTCAGCAGGTAGGGACAGGTGTTTTATCTCTGTTATTTTTCTCTAATTTCTTTCATATGATGTAACGGAAGAGTCAAAGATGCAGATTTCATCAGAATCAACATCGTTTCAAGCGTTTTAGTTATCCATACGTCCTTGTTATTTGATAACTCCGGGTACAAATTTTAAAACACCCCTTCTCTTCCAGTGATGGAATGTCTGTTTCGAACGTATCGACCGTTAACTTTCAAATCTCGCACTTGTGACTTTGACACCGTGGAGGAAGGGTCTACCTTTTCTCTCCGAGTTCGAATCGCATTCTGAAACACTGAGAACGACATTCACTTCATTGCAAGGATCCAGACATGAGTCCTTTCTCGCCGACTTTGCATTCGCCTTCAGCGGAGCAGTGCGCCTGGGAAGTCATGAAACCTTTCCGGGTCTTCGGTCCCGCCTGGATGCGGAACGCCGGTCGTCCCATCAGGCAGGAGCTCCCCGACCACGTCCGCTTCTGTGAAGACTGCGGGCGGCCTCACGACGACATCGAGACCACCTGGGAGGTAGCTGGAGCAGGGTACCTGGCACAGCTGCCTCCTCAGGGCCCCATCTGTGACACCTGTGGTCGCCGTACTGGCGTAACCAGTACCGTACGCCTCGCACGGTGGGGACAGGGGTGGCGAGTCGTCGAGTGGCACCGCTTCGACTTCCTCCTCCTGAGCGCTGACATCTGGGGGACGCTGGACGACGACCCCGTCTGCTTTCTTGTGGAGGACCACTGGGAGGACGACACCTACCGACCTGGTGACGAAGTCCACTTCCACCACTTGGTAGCGCTGTTCCAGACCCTGCGCCAGGGAACGCCGTCAGAGATGGCAGCCGCTCACCACGCCATCATCAACTGGACCAGTAGCGAGGAGACAGCTGTTGGTGTAGCGATGGACGACGAGCTGTCTGACTTGGAAAACGACCACTGGATGCCTTGGATCGTGGATGTGGAGGACCTCTTTATGCAACGTCCACAGTAAGGCAGACACTCACTGTTTAAACGATTGTGACTAAGACATCACATCTCCATCATATTACAATGACACTGTAACGACTTTAACAGGCGACGTTTCATCACGGAAACACGAGCAGTACTGATAAGGTGGTTTGGCGATTGTACGTAGAACTTTTGTGACTTTTAAAACTTGGACGGAAGATGGACTGATAATCATCTGTCTGACTCCGAAGGTGAGGGTGACAAGGACGCCGCTTCGGACAGCACATGGGGGCACCTTTTCGGACTAACTGCTTTGAACATTCTACGCTTCATTTTCGTTATGACATACTTTTTCTGTTTCGACTATGACACACTCGAGAGAGGTGACAGACACAGAATTACCATAGTTCAGAAAACTCCTGTTGATGTCCGATCTACGGTCAGATAATTTTTTAACTAACTAGAATTATCATCATGCCAACTTTTCTAAAAATGGATTTTTAGCTACTAAGTATGTAACACGTGATGGAGGTCTTCAGAACATTTTGATCGGGTCCCATATGCATTGACAAAACGAATTGTAGCTCTATGACAATGTAGAATCTTGTGTCGTAATGTAGTTCAAACCGCGACTAAGGCACCTGCTAAGTGTCTCCAAATACGATAACGTGTAAAATAAGTAGACGTGAAAAAATGACGCCCACGTACAAAACATGTACACGAGGAATATTGAAAATTACGTCTATTCTCCGAAAACTCAACGGATTTTTAAGTTGAACCAATCTATTCGTCAAAGAACGATTCTCTTCAGGTCCGTTTGGCTCGCGAAAGAAAAAATGCTAAATTTCCCCCGGCGAAAGGAGACCACCTTGCCGTGGTGCCGGGGCCCAGGTGCCCAGACGGTCAACATGTGTGTTTACAGGTTATGGCGCAGGGACCTTGGAAGGAAGAAAAGACAGATGACATAAGGTGAGCATCTTTATAACATTGTCCTTGTTACTGCTGTACTTTGCTTAGCGTGGAATTTGCTTTCAACTCAACTCTCTCGCTGTCAGGGGTTGGATGGGCCTCAAGTACCTGTAGCCGTTCACCTCCAATTCGAGAGAACCATTATCAAAAGCTCATGATTTTTCTATCACTATGACAATCAGTCCAATAGGAGCTCAGCATTCTCTATCACCATGTATGGAAGAGAGTCATCACAGCCTCCTGTGATAACGCACAGTTCTCACTCTGACATGTTAGCACATTTGGATAAATAAACAGGGGTAAGATGTTCCCAATCTCCCGACTTGGAGTTGTTGGCTATTAAGCTTTGACAAGCCTGACTAGAGGAATAAAGGTTATACATACTAACATAGGTATAGAAAGGTTATACTTTAGTAATAGAGCTAGCAAATCGCCAAATGACATTTACACTTCATAGAACCCAGACATGGTTCTGTCCAAGACAAGGTTTCAATCCATCCTGATGTCTCAGGAATGATTTTGCATGTTGGGAGATGTGGGACACTATCTTTGGGTAGCTCCGGTAGCAATCAATATCGTGACAACATAAACCAGAACAGACACAGTGTGCATGCATCGATTTGTATTGCCGGACTAATATTGTTTGCCCACTGAGCTACCCATAGAACCTTGTCTCCCAGCATGCCATGGGACACGTGAACAGGTCTGTATTTCACTCAATCACTTGTAGCCCTGCTTGGTCTGTCCATACTGATACATGTTTAGTGTATTGTAGGCTACCACACATAGTACGAGAAGTGTTTATATCATTGTGTAGGTGGAAACCCTATTGCAGTGTGGTTATTTGAAAATGACATGTTGGAGTTGGACATTGTGGTGAGTTTTACCACCTCAGTTGTAGCTTACACAGTGAAAGGCAGCAGTGACTGATGGTGGACACACAAATGTGGACAACTTGAAATGGAAGTGGAGCCTTCTATATACAGACATCTTTTTATTTAGTCTTCTGTTACTATTTTAGCATTCAATACATTGGACCACAGGTTGACAATCCAGCTCGATGCAAGTATACGTTTGTACAGGTCTTTTTTTTATTCGAGAAGGCAACATGGTCTACTCCAATGACCTCCAACCTCTAACCCCTGTATTGTTACAGAGGATCCTGGGAAAATACAGATGCCATTTTTTTCTCTTTATCTTCTTCTCTAACAATATTCATCATTATGTACAAGTAGAACTAGTAGGGAAGCTTTTCCTTGTAAAGTACAAGGACATAAAAGGGCTCTAAACTACCAACTCCATTACAAGTTGCTGGGCTGTCCTTACACTGCACAGGGATTTGTTGTGGGCAGAAAATAGCATCCAGTATTTAGAACAATTATAACTTAATTCTTCTCCAGCACAGATTGACTGGTCCATGCCATATTGGTTCCCCTTCTCCAGATTCTAATTTAATTACAATTTTTCACTCCTCACATTCTGAGCTGTTAAAGGGTATGTCAAATAAACCTGAGGAATAACAACATTTGCTTTCTTTTCCTCCCTACTCCTTCTCACCTACTGTGCATACAATATACAATATTCAATCGATACAAACCTTTGAGATGCAGTGTCATCAATACAAACATTTTAAAAATATTTTTCTACCTTTCAGAATTGCCAGGCCAAAGGTTTGTACACATTACACAATCATGACTTTTAGCAGAAGAGCCCTAGTTGTTATTCCTCAGTTGTATCTTTCTTTACAAAAAAAAACTGATAATAAATTGTCTTAGGAAAGTGTTCACACATCTTGTCAATGTGCTATAGCTAAGTACATGTACATGGAGCTACATCATTCTTGTACCAGTCCTTCTGAAAGGCAAACACTGGCCCTTATCTACTATCTTATAAGCAGCTATACTTTCTTTAGCTTGAAGGGAGTGCTGGGAGGAGTACAATATATGGTGGCTATCAGAGTCTCTATTACATATCCTCTTTAGAACATACTGTGGCACTGTACTCAAGAGTCTGTTGCTCCACTACTCTCTCCATAATCTTTTGTATTTGAAAAGCCCACATGGCATGCCATACAAACTACACTGTACAGAAACCATATGGGGGAAACTAAGGCATTACAGAAAATCAGAATCACAGACTTTTGACTGATACCATTTTAGAAACAATGACAGAGGTTGAAGAAAATAATATCTCAAGGTAATGGTTATCACATTGTATAACAACACTTGGGTTACAAGTATTAATCAGGACTATTATCATGTGATTGAAAAAAATGAACTGGCTTGGCTCTGAACGACAGTAAATGAAACAGATACATAGTGGAACTCAAGCTCACTGCAATGATAATCATAAGGTTACAGTTACTGGCAAGAAAATTAGGTTCTTTTATTCCACGGACATCTTATATGTACACATACATAGACAAATTTCAGGGACAAAAACATTACTCATAAAGGGCACAGAAACTAACACATAAGAGGCCAGGGTTTGTTCCAACAACTCCTGTTCCCACTACAGAAACCAGACTAGGTATTAACTATGGTGCGTGACGGTCAACAAAGGAGTACACACTACTGTGGTACGAGTGGCGGAATGCTACCGTACGAAATGTTTCTGAGGGAACCTGCGACAATTACAATGCAAGAAAATAATCAAGAAGGATAAGAGCCTGTATAACATGCAGACAGACTGGGCGTTCAGCTGGTTTCGGGGGAGGTAGTGAGGTAATCGTCGGCACGTTTGTGATCAGACAAAGCTCGCATGGTCAGGGAGTCATGGGGGAGCTCTGACTTCCGGCGCGGCAGCATCTTCTTCAAATCTTTACCCCTACTGACTCCAGCCTGGAGGAGAAGCACACAACATGTCAGAACTTCTGGTTCAATTGACAGGCTCAAAGAGTCAAAGCAGCTATGCTATATGCATCTATCAAAGATGACGCCTTCTCTTCCACATGCTACATACATCATGCCTGGTGTGGTCAGATACTTGAAACATCTTTTGACAATACAGTTAACATTGCAAACCAATGCTTTCAAGCAACAGCAGAAATCTGTGCTAATACAAGCTTCAACTCAAGCACTCTTATTTTCATTGCACAAAATATATAAGATCATGATGTACGGTGCCATGTAAGTCAACAACTCTACTGTCAGGAAATCTATCAGCCTGACATAAATGCAAATTCTAAGTAGGCAAGCTTCCAGGCTGGCAGGATCTGCTGTTTGAAAAGTCCCGCAAACTTGCAAGAGCTGGCAGCCAAGACGAAACATCAAGACTGAAGAGCAGCCATTTGTCATGAGCAAGACAGCAACAGTAGGAGTAAAAACTAAACGAAATCAGAGGCAAAATCAGATCAAAATCGCAGAGGAAGGAAGTGGGGAAAAGTCTCTCACCCGATAACCGATGACGCCCAACATTGTTCTTCTGTTCATCGAAACAGAAAAGACAGAAGAAGGTTGGTGACAATACAGGTAGTGCACAGGACGGGGTGGATGGCAGGGGGAGAGAGAAAAGTAGCATCACATCACACAGAAACACCAATTATAGGGATGTAGCACACCAATGTACAGTCTGTCACGAAAATCAGGCAAAATTGTAAAAAATACATCAAATGGCCAGCATTGCAACATTTAAAATGGGCATGATACCTCTCTGGCTTCAACCATTGTCAAAAATATGGCACACGGTATTGATAAAAATCTACAAATCCTTGTCACCTGGAAGAGGGGAGTGGAAAGCCTTCTACACGTCACAGAGAATCACTTGGTGTAAGTCAGCTTGATATTTTGGTCTCTGTTCCTAATGTAAGACTCTTGCATTTGGATATCTATTATTGGATAAACCCCTGAGATACCTCGCCTCTCTGTCTACACCAAGTGTATCATAAGTCTTACAATGACACTGGAGTGATACAATTGCCAGATGCAGTACAGGAAGAGGGCTATAATTGTAATTTGTTCCAAATTTGATCATCACATTCACGACTAGCGGTCAAAACTGCACAGAAAGACAGAGATGGTCTGAATTGGCAGCACTTTGAGGGAGGCCCACCTGTCCTCTGTCATTCATTTTGTCTAAGGACAGCTCCGCATCATCATAGGTGTCTGTTTCCATGGCAACGGACCCGCTGCTGCCAGGGGAATTCGGTAGCCTAGAGTTTTCAAGATACCCGCCGTACTGTGGGGGAGAAACACACAGGCGTGGTGTTAGCTGGGATTGCCTTCGTCCAACACGGCTAGCTGTGCCTTCACCAAATTCATTGCAGTGTAATTTTTGTGTCAGGAATAAAAATGTGAACGAAATAATCTGTGCAAAGTGATGATCTTGGTTCTAGGTGCTCATTAAGAATCACAGCCAATGTCATGTTGATGCAAATATCAATATTGGTTTGGAAGGGACTTGAGATATGCCTGCAAAAAACACCTTAAAAAACTACCATCTTTTTTCCAGAATGTATTTTTGAGTACGATGCAAGAGAAGTCTGGCAAGCGATCAAGGGAATGAGACAGAACACAACACCAGAGGTCAGCTCTGACTCAATTTCCTAACCTAAGCCTCTTTGGGAGGAAAAGGAGCAACACTCCAATTATTTAACACCACATTCTCAGCTCAGGCTGACTTTTTCTGACAAGGAAACATGGGAACTTCAGCTGTGAAGGCTAGCTCACCCCTCTCCAGGATAACATGGACAATGGAAGGTATGCAGAATGACAGCAGGAGTCAGATTGACAGAAAGGGAAGTACATTAGTTTTTACAAATGCTGTTTGATGTGTAAAAGCCAACCATGAACAGGCTATGCTGGGCAGCATGTACAAGGGAGGGAATGGGAAATGGTATTTTCTGATTTGAAAGTACATTCTGCCAAATGCTGCTCCTTTCCCTCCACCAGCTTATTTCCAAGCACAACAATCACAAAGCTGCTGAAGTACCTTTCTGTCAATCAGTCGTTTGATTTTTTTTTATATATCAGAGCTTGAAATACAATTCTTTGTCATTTTACAGGCGGTACTAGCAAACCTTCAATTTTACCTGCACCAAACTGCATATTCAGGAGGTATTTCAAGCCCTGCATTGTGATTTCCTTTATCCATGCCAAGAATAACCTCACCTTAATGACAGACAGTTCAACCTGTAAAGTAGCAAAGACAAGTCTGGACAGGGACAGCCATTTAAAATGCACACAGGAAGAGAGGTGGCCAGGTTTACAGTACTTACCATAGGATTGGTCTGAGCTATGTGTTCTATCCTATCCCAAGCCTCTTCTCTTTCCCTAACCTTTTCTTTTTCTCTGTAAAGGCACAGAAACATTGTTAGTAATTGGTAACCTTGAAAAGTAAGCTGCAAAATAGATTACTGTACTTTTGAAAATAGTAGAAGAATGGCACCATTATGACAGAAAATCACATTATGCACTTAGACAAGCCTTTCATTACATTCTTTTTTCCTAAATCTTTCAATTCTTTAAATAAATAAACAGTGACTACAATTTTGTATTGAAAAGAAACAAGAAAAAGCCGAATCCTCAGACCAGATCATAATACTCACACTAAGTTGTATGACCTGTACTTAGTCCAGTGGAGAAATATATGTAACAGTCATTATTACTTCAACATTATTATTCTACACACAAGTGATTGTTTCTTGCCAAGAAAGGTTGACTGTACAGTTGACTCACTTTTGTCTCTCGGCTTTGTACCGTTGGGTACAGTCGTCAAACAACTTCTGGTTCATCTCCATAAACAGCTTTAAAGCATTGTAGATCAGGCCATGGATTGTCCTGCAGGAGAACAACAACAGTCAACAAAAACACTCTTGTCTTCCACAGTACTGAATAAAAAAAAAGCAACACTAAAAACACATACTCATCGTATGATCTTGTTACAACCTGTACGTAAACCTTAGGAGACATTGGGAGTAAATGTTGCTACTTACTTGTTCCAGTGTGTTTTGGAGTTCTTGTAGAGAGCTGGAAACATGATGGGAAGGATGACCTGAGCATTGTCACTGATCAAACTCATTATGTACTCATTATTCCAGTAATACAACGCCCGTTCTGCTACCTGGAAGGTGTAAGAATTTAAAAAAAAATCTTCATGAGAAACAATGTGTACAATAGTGTGTGTGTGACACATTACAGACAAATATTCATAATAGTTTCCACAGGTTGTCAAATATATAGTTAATAATTATTTTGGGGGTTTCATTTTCAAAATTTTAAAAGGCTTTTCCATTTTTGTGCTTTGTCAGTTTCCTACTGATTTCAATGTGCTATTGGCAAAAATTCAGAAACATTCAACCTTCAAATCTCTGAATGGAGTTATTCATATGCTTGACTGCAACATCACATCTGAGCCATAGGTGGCATCACACATCAACTAGCTGACGATTATTAAGTATTACAAATACAGAAGCGGATGTAGCATTGTATAAACAATGGGATATTGAAATTGTAGCTTCTACACTGACCTGGAAATGTGGACTGGAGACACACTGAGCCAGCTGTCTGAAGAGGGGGCCCATGACCTTCTGAAACTCAGAGGGCTCGATCACGTCTAGGATTTCCTCTAATTCATTTAGGAACATTACCTGGAAGGATGAAGACAGATTATGTAACATGTTGATGATGGTCTGACATACATTATACATTACATAATACAAAAATCAAGCAAGAGTCAGATGTTTCAGATAGCACCCATTATCTTTCAAAGACCGAGAACATAATATTGTTATTCTCAGCTACTGCCGAGAGATACCTGAAACATCTGACTCTTCAGAGAATTCATCCATTTGCTTGATTCAATTTGTTATTACATAAATCATGAAACAGTGTGAAACATACAGTTCCTTCAATCGACCATGTGGCATTATATAATGTCGTGACAATCTATGTATAACTCCAGACATAACAATCAGTACTTCCACCCCCACATTACATGAGGAAAGTTCTTACACAACCTTTGAAATGCAATCACGAGGCTGTGCATGTGCCAAAATTGCCACTCTTGAAACACTTTTCTCACATTGAAAATTACAGCAGTTAACTCTCGTCAGAGCACAGCATACATTATTCAGCAGCTAATTCTCACAACAAAAGCATGGTATCAATTAAGCATTACCAGTGCTCCATGTAGACCAGTCTCCAAGCAGAGGTTTAGGCTTTGGCTTATTTTTGATGTGTTTTACCATTTTTATCAGGCTTTCTTTTTTGTACTGGTATCTCTTTTTCAAATGGCAAAAGGTAACTGCCTGGCAAATGGATGCTGCCTGGCCAATTGATACTGTATTGCAGCCACCAAAAGACCTGCTTGGAGATTGAAAATAGACCTGTGTGTGCACTGCACATTCTGGGCTAAACTAAATAATTGAAGCTTAAAGGTTTGTTTTAAAATAATAAAGTACACAGTAGCGGAACTATATGTACATTGTATCAATAAATCAAATCTGCTAAGGGTTGGAAGGTGACTTAAAGCAGACCAGAAATGGTTGCATAAAAGGTACCTTCTTGAAACTAGAACAAAGATCTTTACTGTCTCATCTATTACTTACCTCCTTTGGACTATGGACCTTTGGCCAGAACTTTAGCAGCCCCATTATTACCTGTAGTAACATAACAACCAGTACAGCTGTCAGATTGAACCTAAACATTTTTTTCTGTCAAATGAGACTTGCTTTCAAAGTCCACAGGGACAACGTAACCTATTTTAACTCTGGATACTCTGGAAACGACTTAACAAGATAAGCTGGATAGTACAGAATACAAAATGTATATACTTTTCACAAACAATACATGCCAAACAACTGGAGTAATGAATCATAACAAAGAAATAAAACAAATGGGTTGGGGAAAGAAACCAAGAGGGGATGAAGTGTGGAGTACTCACTGGTTCTGTAAGACTAGCATCCTTCTCTAGGAACTGGACTACACAGTAGGCCAGCTGCGGATGGTACACACTGAGAGACTTGACCTTGTGGAGGGGCAGCAGGACCTTCAGTAGGAACACCTTATGTTCCTCCTTCAGCGGCAGCGCAAACCCATTGATTATACTGCAGAAGGACGGGACAGGAAAACAGCATTACATAAAATACATCAAACAACTGGATCAAACAGATCAGAGGTAGAGTCAGACATTTTTGATGATATCTGCTGTCTACCACCACTGACTGCTAAAGAACAGGAACACCATCAGCTTATAGGAAAATAGAAATATTGCCAGATGTGCAATGCTTAGCAGATCCTAATGTACTTAGATAACAACTAATAGGTATCACTGTGATGATATATGCATAATAATGTATGCATTTGCTTTTTTTTTTTCTGGTCAGATTGGCATCTATACTGCATAAGATGGACAACGTATAGACCCACCAGGTCATATGTTCAAGTTCAACCCGTTCATGTATGGGCTTTTATCAATGTATCGTTTGCTTCCTTTTCATGCAAACTAACTATTGTTACGTCTGTGTCACATCAAGGAATTCCCACCATCACATGTGAACTGTGCACCAAGAAGGGTTCCATTGAGCCTTCCCTTAATCACCTGCATTGTTACATGGAGCGGACGTAGAGACAAACTGTACTGTCACCAAGGAGCTTCTCGCAGCACTTCTGGTACAATCATGATTGTCATCTACAAGCTGTGGGCTCCTAACTGACAGCTACATCATCAATGGTCGCTAATCATCGCCACAATACACAACGACCACATCAATACCCATGGGCATCACACAAAGGACCAGGAGAAAACACCCCCAGGTAGAGGTGGTGACAGATGCACGGTGCATCACCTGGCAGCACCACACTCCACAGGAACAATAGAACTGCTTCTAACAACTCAGACACACGGTATATCGTAAATTCTGTCTCACCGGGACTCCAAAATATTACCCAATTTGTAATATTATAACAAGCTACCAGTGCCAACAAACATCATGGACTACAAATCTGACAAGATCACATTTCTTACGCCATAGTTTATCAGAAGTCCGTCTTGTGAGGAATAACGTGTGTAATTTAATGTACACACAGTACTGAAATTTCCGCCCCAATTCTCCCATGGCCATGACCAAAAGGTCATCCACGAAACTCTCCAAGCAAATATAAAAACAGCAAAGACGTATTTTCTAATTTGACAGTAACTGTTTCCATACATGATAACCAGCTAGTACAGTTACTGTACTAAAATTTTGGCATTAAAAACAACTTAGATGCTGATAGTACTCAGTAACTGTCTTCTAGCCTTAGGATAGGGTGAAGCAGAACTAATGTAATCCATTTTTTCATTAACTTGCCTAATAAGGTGAAGTAATCTTTACTGCACCAATAAGTCATTCAGGGGAAAAAGACGACACCAGGTGTTGATACACACACCTGTTATCTTCTGCTGAGGATGTTGATGATGTAAATACTAGACTGGCACACAGACTTTAATGTCTGAAGACTACTGCTGCAGGGCATGTCTCTCTGCTGGTGGCAGCTGACAACCCTCTGGCACCCACTCAAGAGGACTACTGACCCTACTGCCTATCACTCCCATTCAAACTTACTAAAGAAACTGGCATATCATTAGACATTTGTACATTTGTCTGTGGGAAACGTGACCAACACAATCACTGCTGTCAAGTTCAAACCAAACAGGAGCCGTGATCCCTGCCATTAGACAAACCAACATAAATCAGGAGGTTCAGCCTAGAACATTAGCTATTTGTTGCACTGTTAACATTGGCCTTCTACCGTGAACGTTGGGTATATACACAGAGACGTTAGGGATACAACAGTGTGTCAACTTAGACAAAACATGGTTACACGGGTCTGCCCATTATCAGTGTGTGCTTTGCTGTGGCTACTTTCATCTCATGACTATTAGCACAACACTACAACACACTATGTCCAACTGTTTACAATACAAATGTTAACATTCCAAAAATACGAGCAACTACTATCTGCGTACTGTAAATCTTGAGATCTTTGCCGTGTTTTCACATTCACAGTTTTTGTGGTGACTTCTTGCCACTAACTCATCATGCCCGGACCATATGTTCAGCCTTCTATCATGTTACTGCTATTGTTTCAGCTGCAAAATATTGATTTTCAGGGTGACTGTCAGACATCAACTTAAATGAGGTTACAGTACCTAGTAATATCTTCACTTTTACACTGATCCTCTCTGTGGCTGTGTGAGAGTTCACCAGTCACTTTGCTATTTTCATGGGCAACTCGATCCTTCCACACAGGTTTGTTGAAAGGAGGGCTAAGATGCAGGTTTAAAAGGATTAAGACAAGAGCTCACCTTCCCAAGACCTCTAGAAGTTCTGCTATGCCGTTGTGGTGTTCTGTTTCATATATAAACCTGCAAAACAAAAGAAGTCGACATTGGCTTAGGGGGAAGCTACGTGACTGGAATTCTACCTCTGTCAGATACACACAATAGACACACTTGTGTCTTTAGGATGAAATTGATTTTTTTAACCCAACATAAAGGACCCACAGCTGTACCACTAGTATATTTATGTCAAGTACTTCTACAAGTTAAGCTTTGTAGTTGGAAGCTGTTCATGGGCAGGACAAATATGGAAATAAAACATCAAAATATGCAGGGACGGCCAGAGGTTTCAATCAACACAGAATATAAGAAGTTTGGTAATGATATCCTAAAACTGTGTTCTTCTTATTCCTTGAATACAATTTTAAGAATAGAGGTTGGAAAAATCACTGGGAACTATTATTACATTAAACAACATGCCAAGTCACAGACATGGCAATTATCCCCTAAGCCAGTTAAGGACATTTCCTGTGGTATTAAGTATTTCCCACAGGGATCACTGTAATTGTAGTATGAGAAATATAAAAGCAGCAGAAAGTGAAGCATTGTGGTGTTTGTTCCTGCTGCTAGCACGACACCAAATGTCATGTTTGAAATTTGATTCTATTTTTAGTCCATTTCTTGTGCTTCCTTGTTGTAACTATGCAACAAGGGGCAATTTGGCGTTTGTGTCAGTCACGAGTCACGACTAGGGCCATTTTGCAATAAGCCTGAATAGTTCCTGTAATTACCAACTGGACTCGAAATACCACCTGCCTGTACAGGTTAGTGCAAGTACATGTATCCTGTATAGGCAGGTGAGGCAGCGCAGGTATTCTGATTGTCTTCCTGCACCTAACCTGCACTTGTCTAGATACTGGGTATATACGTGTATGCATGTTTTTGCTTGTTACCGATTTGTAACTGATTGTTACCTACACCTAACCTGCACCAGCCTTCTGTCAATTTCAGTGAGTGTGTAGAATTTTGCCTGCTGAACTGATTGTTAAAATGAGTACCAAAAAAATAACTGCTTCAGTTTTTTTAATAGTTAGTTATTTGATACACATTTTATAAAACCTTTTTCCATCAGAAAATTCTGAATGTTGTATGCACCAGTGAAGGTACACAGAAGAAAAGAATGTCCAAGCACTGACCAGGAAAAAAATTCAAAACCCATAATAATGGTCTGACAGTGATCCCTGAGTAGAATTTATGAGTGGCCCAGAGGCAGGATACTAACCTCCAGCACACCCGCCCCAGGGCGGCACTAAATCAAGGGACAAATTCAATTACCTATAAAATATGTTATTGATCTGTTTTCTGATGTAAGCCCTGAGCCCGAGGAATTTGCCATAGATGCGATGCAGCGTCGTTTTCAAGAAATCCCGCTCCCTGGGGTCTTCACTGTCGAACAGGTCCAACAGCTGGGAGGGGAGAGAAGGAAATTTTTAAAAATAAAATATTAGCAACTTATTTACATGCGAACTCATGCCTGACGGCTAACTGCAAGATAACACACAGTATGTAAAGAAAATGTCCAGTCTATAGATCTATCTGATGTTTCTACACACATTATGAGGGTTGTAACTTCTCTTTTCGGAAGCAGTGCCTAATGAATAGTCTTAGATTTTAATGACAAGTGGGTTTTGTGATTTAAGGAGAGAAGTGTTTTTATTTAAAGTTTTCTAGATGGAGAAAGCTTGATCGTGGTAACAATTTTAAAATGCTTATTTCTTTCAAAAGTCCTTGTCTCAATATTGGGGTATTTATGAATGAAATGTGCTTGTCCATCATTTACTTCTTCTCATCATTTTCACATGAGCAGGAGGAGTAAACATGGATGGCTCCCTTGCTAATTAGTAACCTGCTGGTGGTTAGAGCCGCCGGCCCCGGAAACCACAAACATGGGTCATAAAGGAGCCATGATGTCACTCACTCCAGCCTCGTTATCAATGAATACCATCCAGTCAGAATCAGGTCATTGTACATTTATACATTTCTCCTCAGCTAACAACTGATATCACGTGCCCCCATTTTAACATCTGTGCCGATACAGATGTGACTGAAAGGAGTTATATATCAGTATACAAATGGGAACTTGCGTCAAAGTCTGCTGTAAATTAAATGCATGAGCATCATAACCGGTGACTGTGTAGTCTATGTCAAATTTTTTCACAAGGTAGAACATTACATGATGGCAGGTATGAAGGTAACCAGTTACAGAACTCAGGAAATGCTAAAACTAAAATTGCTCTGTACCATCCTTGCCCAAATCTCACCCACCTGTAAAACAAACTTCTGGTCTATGTACTTCTTGGCTGTGTTTGGCTGGAAGTCAGGAGACTCCAAGAACCTCAGGAAGAACTCATAAACAATCTGAAACAAAAGAAATGACAGAATTATCCTTAAATCCTCCGTGCAGATGCCAGGTGACACCTCGTGGGCACACTGACGTCAAACCTGCGCGTCAAACGATGGCGCAAAGCCACCCCTCGCGGCAAACTGATGATAAAGACACATGGGGACGTCTGGGCGCATGTATATAAGTCTTCCTCACATGTCCTCCACTGACCTTTCCCTGTCTCTATGCCAATTGTCTGATCCGTGCCAGGGGTACACAAAGGTGGTTAGCAGTACAGCATCACATGCCTGTTTGATTGAACAGCCTCATGACTGAATCATGCATTTTCCAATTTGTCACAGTTAAAAACACTCCAGTGTGGTGATGCCTTCCTACCTCCTGACAGTTTGAACAGGTACAGGGTAAAGACTGACATTCAGCTTCACTACACAGAACCATACAATTTATCATGATCAGGACTTGAGTATGCATTTGCTGTGAGCATTGCCTGGACATCTTCCTCAACCCACATCAACATTACTGCTATCTCCTGTCTGTATTGGAAAAATTATTTAGTTTTTGAGTGTACTGTAGTGTAAGTCATGGCTCTTACATAAACTGGTTTTAAACTGTGCCAAAAACAATACATAGAATACTGTCGTTTCCCCATCAATGTGAATAATATGGCTCGCCGGGCTGCATACACAGTTAAAGGGGCCTTGAAATACAGTGTGAATTTCCTCATGCAAGGGAAACATTAGTCTAAATTTTGGCATTACCAAACTAAAACAAGCATGCTATAACTCTTCCTTATCAGGAGATGTACTGATGGGTAGAAACAGTTTTCCTGGTGTTGTCCTGACCTGTAAATGTGGCCACGCAGCTTCTAGTGTGGGTTCATCTTCCTCTGGGTCAAACTCTGCTCCGTTAGGGTTGGATGTAGGCGGCAGCGTACGGAACACGTTTATTGAGAACTGCAGGGAGAATCACAAAGAGGGTTATCAGGTAACAAAGAATATTCCTACAACAATACAGGCAAGAACTCCTTTCCTCAGGTATCCATTTAGAGAGCTTTATCCTTCTCCCTGCTGCCAAACCTCATAACCAATACAAATTTGGTGGCAAAAGATACTTTACTAAGGAGAAGGTTAATAACATCTTACCGTCAGATAACAATTGAACAATGATAAAGGTATAACATACCAGATATTGAGAAAAATATCATGTGTACCTGGGGCTACAACAAAGAAAACCATACTGGACATACACTAAAATTAATAGTTTGTATTTAATACAATTCTCCACTAATCATGACTCTCCTTGATGTGCATATATCAATATATTGTGTACAGACAAATAAGAGCACTGCCTGAAGACCTTTTGAAGTTCAAACATACAATGCTACAGGCCACCATTAACATACACCATCTATGCAGCCCACAGGCAAACTACCGAAGTAAAGATTACCATATTGACTGCCTCTGGATACACGGCCTCTGTGATGACGCCCCTGTTGTGGGTCACGTACTCCACCATCTCGTTCAGCGCCGCTCTCTTCACCTCCTTCCATTTCAGGTCGCTCAGGGGGTCGTTCACGAAGTCGAACACGACGCAGCACTGTCTCAGCTTCTGCACAAACAGGTCCTCCCGCTCCTCTGGTCTCGCATCTACACATCAGGCAGAAATACACGTGTTATCAGAGGCCAGTCTGAGGGACTCAAATCGGGGAGCCAATTGAACAAAAAACATATGGGACATAAAAAAAATCTCAAGCTGTCCAGAGCCTGTAAGTGGAACTCATGCAGGGTAATCGTTTAATAAAATGAAACAAAAATAAACACCCATGGGAGCAAATCAAAAGAATCACCATGGAAACTTGTGTGAAACAGAAAAAAACAGAACAGTTTCTATTGGAGCCCTTGGCAACCATGTCTGGAATAATTGAATGTCAGTTGATAACATTACCCATATTAGGAGGGCACGATTCCCCTGGATTACACTATACAGTTTGAAGGTACAGTGTTCTATCAAGTGACTACAGGACCAATCAGAAAGCTGCCAGGACCATGATTTAGTCAGGCTAGATAAAGGCTATGCCAGCAAAAATAAATGTACATCATGTCCTTTATTTTTTCTGACATTTACACGCTCTGCTGTAACTATTGTAAAACCACAAAGAATCAATGGCAAAATTCCAGTTGATATTGTACCATGTTTCACATACAAACAAGACTATGGTAACCATTATCACAGGTAACTAAAGATTACAATCTTAAGCGAACAACGACTATGCTGTAATCCAGGAGTGATCTCTGCATATGCTGATCCAGTAGAATTTAAGGTTCATTTGTATTTTAGCTGTGCCAGTTGGTATCAACCCCAAGCCAATATTTATCCAGTCTCCTTGCTATCTAACCATTAGTAATGAGGCCCATTTCTATGACAAGATCGACTATCCACACATGCAAACCAAGGGTCAGGTAAGTAGTATTTACTGCTTTTGAGACTTTCTCAAAGGTCACCTGTTCCATTACAGATCAGAGCTCCAGTCATCAGATGTTACAGACTGTGGCACAGAGCCAGTTTACACAGGATCAAACAAGTGTGGATGCCGATTCCTCAACCTTCAAGTGAGGCTATTTCACTGGCTGTGTGATATCTAGGCTGCTTTCGTTGCATCAGTACACGGTAGCTAAGATCTTTCATAGTTCTCCTGAGTGTAATTTGATAGAAATGCAGGAGAAAGAAGGATTACCCACTTCTAATGAGAAAATGAGATCATTAGATACATGGATTCACATAGGACGATTTTCTTACTTGTCATGTAAGCCATAGAGGATTTTAAGTCCCTTTCAGATCCAGCCGAACCGAATATTTACATGTACTAATATTACAGTGTTCTGTACAACCATAGAGGCACCGTTTGGATGGAGAATGGAGATAACAAAAGACATGATTATTAATTCATGAGGCAAAGCCTGCATGACTTTGTACCATTTATCATGACTACAGCCTGCCGGCACATGGCAGCACTCAGCTACATATAGGGGGGTGTGGTTACAGGTACAGGGACACTCCGCCCTCACTTCATTTCTACTGCCTAGTCCACCACAGGTAAAAGGTTATTCCTCAATTTACATGAGAACCAGGCAAACATTAGGATCAGGTTTCAGGATAACCAGATCCTCTGCATCTCTGGAAATGACAAAATGCAACATGATGATAATGTCTGCATTACGCAGAAAACCCCAGTGCAGTAAAACCTACATCCTATTCCTAGTAACTACACAGGATTTCTCAGAAAAAGAAGGGAGAATAACTGTCAACATCTCTACAACACCAAGGATTTTAATCCAATCTAAATGACTCTGTTTGGAAGGGATGATTACATGAGTCTGGTCTTATAAGAAAACCCACCTAAACCCCTTGACTATACAGAGACAATGTTAAATATTAGAAGAGGTACTGTCATGTAGTGCAGTCTGTATCCAATACAGGATTCGGTCTTGGACAATGGAAAACAACCAGATGCAGTTTTTCTCAAAATAAAACATAAAATGTCTCAACCTCTCGTTCTTCCCCATATGTACAGGCAAGGACTACATATGAAACAGACAGAACGATATCACAAAGATTGAAAAGCCCTTCTGCAATGTACCTGAGACGTGTGTAATTTTCTGGCCACTTCCATCTTGTACATATATGAACTCCCACACGCAATTAAACAGGATGCATAATGGCCGTATAATGATCACCAGTTTCATAATACCAGTATGTCGGATTAAAGTTTCTCTCCATTTCCTGCTTATGTGAATACCTTGGTTTGGACAGAAGGTACCTAGCAATCCATGGCACAGGTATTGATTTTTCTCCTGATGCTTCAGTACCTACACATTCACAAAAACGAACTGATCCTCCTCCTCTAACGTGTGTGTATTCCCATACTGCTGGAAAAACCTCCTCTCATTCAGACAGATGAGCCTCAATAAAACAAAAAACACAGATGCAGGGAATAAAACCTGACACCATATTCATTTAACTGGAAGGCAGGCAAAAAATAGGGCATCATCCCCCACATCCAGGTATGATGTAAAATGGAATTGGCTCTAGCAACAGGGAAAATTGAATGAAGACAGCATAATCCGATGAGCATTGCCGGTAACCTTACCGGTAACCATGATTTCCATTGGTGCTACAGCGTTGGTGGGTCGGCGTGCTGTCACAGGACCCCCGTTCACCCGCATGGCGCACCTTCACAGGAGAGGGGCTACAAAACCTCCTGATGGGGCTGCTAGGAAAATGGTGGCTGAGTGAGAAACAAGCCGGCCCAGCGGTCTCCAGGCGAGGCGGGCTCTGCTTACGTCAATGGCTGGCATGTTATGACATCGCCGTTCCGCCAGGGAGGTCTTACCTCATCCACTAATGCCATATATGGGAGACAATTCCCAGGGGGACCAGCCAGTGCACGGCAAATTTTAATAACTCCATGCAGCGTGGGGCAGAGAGGGAATAATACACGCTGGAATGGTACAGCAGGTGTTGGGAAGGGGGCAGCGCTTCCTCAGTTGACATTTCATCTCTTTGAATCAATCAAGATTTTGGTAATCTCCTTTTCAAGCTGTTCTGGCATTCATGAATAAAAGGCTACATTTTTGGTTGAGATTTAGAATCAATTCTGAAAGGAACCATGGTAAGCTTATCTCATCCTTAACGCTTCTCATTCACCAAGATTCACTAGCGACTTGCGTAACTGCTCTTTCATGTAACACCTTACACTTATAAGAGAATTAAAGTCTTCCCTATGCAGGCATGACCCGGCATACTAATTTCCTCACTCTCTGCTTTGCTAGAAATATTGGTTCTGAAAAATGTTGATCTTCACCTCGGCATGACCAGGGTATTCCCTACATCTGACATATGTAATTAAGGACAGCAAAACAGTAAACAATATCAATTATGCAAATGACATCCTGATTAACATAATTGCCACAATGACTGTTTGGTAAAGGATTTTTACTTTCTTATTTGGAATGAAAGAGGCATGTTAACGGACAATGATTATGCTAATCAGAACCTTATTTGCATTATCAATTCAAATAAGATAATTACAGCAATAAATTTTTTGCAGTTTTGCTTTTTTTACCAGACTGCATGTGGTTAAGACTAGGAACTGACACGTGCCGTTTTCCCCTTCTTATGTACATGAAAATGCAAGTTGGTAACGTGACCTTCCTCAATGATTATCTTTCCATTACTATGGAACCATCAGCACAAGTAACTGTATATTGGCTGTTCCCGAAATAGACGTTGTAACCAGCCCGTTGACGTCAGTGAGAAATGATTTATACAGACTTTCAGGCTCGCTTCCAATCTCCCGGCAACTGCCTTGAGTGCAGTCAAGGATCATCCATGCAGAGTGTCCATTTTACCCAGCGTAATCTGTACGCAGAGTGTCCCAATGTCTAGACAGTGCCTCTGCATATGTCACTGTTTCCTCTCTGTCATCTCTTAAACATCTACAAAATGTACTTGCATCGAGGTAACAGCAAGCCATGAATACAATTTTTTCAAGAATGTAGTTAGGCTTCCGTGGTAGCAGATACTGTATTCTTCGTTGTTAAAGCTCCTTGTTCTACAAACACAATACTACTGATGAGGTGTCAGCCATTTTGTGGGGTCAAAGGTCAAAACAATAAACGAGTCTTATTCCTTGTTAGACACCTTAGAGAAAGGCTGAGTGCCAAATGTTAAGCTCTTCTTTGAAATTTAAATACTTTGTATTACTAAAATGATTTATTGCCAGAAGAAAAGTCCCATAAATCAATAACTGTAAAAGTTTACCTTCCCTATCCTAGTATGTATTCACATTCCCAATATGTGACCTACTTAATACATCAGATAACATCTCCATGGCTAACCCTGCTCTCCAGGGCCTATTACTTACTAAGCCTAGCAATAACCTTCCACCTATTAGCTCAGTCTGTACTGGAACAACTCCTGTGGGATGGAACAGTGGATAAAACTTTCATCAGTGATGACCTTTAAAACACTCAAAAAGAAAGCTGGAACAGTTTGTTTTATGTGAATGTCTGGCAGCTCTTCAAAACATTTTCTGCAAGTTTACTAAACACAGAATTAGAATTCTCTGCAAAACCCAAATCTTCTTTCTTCACTGCCAGATGCATTTGCAATATTGCAAGAAACAATTTACGAAGTATTTTGAGCCCTGCTAATGAATTCATGGTGACAAGTTGTGAATAAATAAATGGTAGCCAAAAGGTCATATTAGCTTTGCTTCTGAATCTGACTGTGAAAAATTTCACATTCAGTATTTCACTGAACTACTTGGCATGATTTCAGGTGACAAGTTCCCAGAACGACATAATACAAACATCGTTTTTCAGAACCTCTGGGGCAATAAGATGTCTGGAAATACAGCAAGACTTACTACGAATATGTAAGTCAACGTAAAGGTGACAATATTGGTGAAATAACGATGTGTACCAGTGTGGAGACCGAGTACCAATACAATATCACAAAAGATTTGCCTGAAAATTTTGCAGTTCTTAGCAAAGGACCAAAACATTGAATCAATGCTGAAATCAATGCCATCTTTGCTTTGAGATCCTCTTGTGAGAGTACGTTCTTGGTATGAATACCGAATGTC